GTGTTCAACGAGCCGATATGATATTTCCTCAATCTCATATTTTAGTCAGTCTTTGTCTCATCGATTAAAGCAGTCAAACATTTAGGCCACTATTATTCGTTTCATCTTGGTGTGATGGGTTTGCACTTTTTTAGTTTCTGGATATTACGTGGTCGGCTAAATGCTGAACTTAGTACGTATTTGTGATGTACATATGCAGTATAACTCATAACCATTGTGGCATTTCTAAGTGCGCCACTGTCTCTAAAAACCTTACTAAATTACCTGAGCCTGCATCTTCGATCAGACGAGTTCATATCGTCTCGTTCTAGTGTGTCACGCTTTGGTCTTCGGGGAGGTAGTAGTCAGAATCATGATGCGCGATGATTTTCATCCACTTGTAGTATTCGTTGCCTTAAAAAACAAATCTTTGCTGACAAACACTTAATCACTAATTTGGCTGAGACAAGTTAACAGTCCGAAGGGCACGAATGTATGCGTGAAGTTGACTAAATTTCACTTTAAAGGTGACGTGTAATGAACTATCATCAAATATACAGTAATTGTTGGGCAAATGATGGGTAACATTTGTGCCTGTTAGAATTGATCATTTACAATTTGGGAACGTTATGTGGCAACGATATGCCCTAATTTATGTCGGTTAAGGGAATAATAAACAAAACTCGAAAAATAGAACACACACGCACACACCCACGAATACCATTGAGACGGCAGAACTAGACACAAAATAATACATTCTTTAATTTAACAACTACTCCTGAAATTGTGAAAATTAATCAAAACTACTTAGAATCTTTACCAAGCTAATGATCAACAACACGAAAAGCTCAAATTACACAAAGCCATCAAAGGTCCAGGTGAGGCGTTAACAATGTTTATGAATCAGCATTAAGTTTTTAAGAAATCGATCAGATTTATTTAAGTGTTGCCAATACTTATATGAAAACAGCATATGTTCAACAAAACGCATTTAATGAAGAATATGCTAAAATGACGTGAATTATTTAATGCTGTGGTTTGCTGCGTTTGTTTTTAAATTACACATTTCTACAGTGGGATGAAGCCTTCTCAATTTATTGTATTCGTCAGTGTGCAATCAATAGTGCTCTATAAGCCATGGGATGTCTCTAAAAGCAGGAAGGACAATAGATTTTTATCTTACGTTTCATGTAACCAGATATGATTTAAATGTCCATTCACAAATAGCCCGTTCTGCATGGTCCCATCGCATTGGAGGTTTTGTCGTAATTCGTTTATTCCAATTGCATTTACTCCAATTAACATTTTTAATTGGTATGTGTGTGTAATTTAAGCACATGTGGGTACATTAATTGAAAAAAAATCATGGGAGTTCTGTGTAAAGAAATAACACTTCGAGGATTCCCCGGGGTGACCTGCCACATGAGGTGGTAGGTTTGAATTTGAGTTTAAGCTTCCCATGATTAAATCACATTTCTAAGTATCTTGAGTTAATGGCCCCTTCCCTCCCTCCTTCCCATCATCTCTCTTCTCCACATGCCTTACAACTGTGCTCAATTCAAGAACTATCCTTACTCTTTGTCTACTATAACCTTCAATATCGCTGTTTGTTACTGGGAGCTTTGCATCTCGGGCCTTTGTGTTTGCGCTCGGCAAACGCAATTTCAGAAAAATGCGCCGGCAAAAGCGCGTGGTGTTTTTTTGCCCACACGAGCCACGGGGAGGGCAGCACCCTGGTGAGTCACGCGAAGAGACACACACAACCTCGCTCAGCTGACGCCCAAGAGAGAGAGAGAGCGTGCGTGGGATTGGAGTCAAGGTTGTGCGATTCTGTGGCAGTAACGTCATGCGGAGCGATAATTGGTTTTCACGGCTTGCAGAGGACAAGGCATGGTGCGCGTCAATGGAACCGGTTGTCTATTGAGTCGAGCGTTGTTCGGTATCTCGTCATCGAGAAGTGGCGCTCGTTACATGCCGTGCCGCACAAGTCAAGGAGGAATGGCGATGTTTCAATGGTTTGGTTGCTCCGTAAAAACGTCCCTCCTCATCACTGAGAGCTGTCTTTCAGATGTATTTATACTGGTAGGAACATCCTGGTTACGCCAAGCCACAGGGGATTATTGTGTCCGTCATGCAGGGAGGGGTTGGGTGGGGAGGGTGGGGAGGGGCTGGTTGGGGGGTGGGAGGGGTGGGGCTGGGTGGGGAGGGGAGGGGCTGGTCACCCCATGGTGCCCTTATAACACATTCCTGCGGAGGGAGCTGGTAGGAACGTTGGGTTGTTCGGTCAGTGGCCAGGGTCAACGGCGGCGTGGTGTATTCCGCAAATATGGCCAACTGTGAGGGCGGGCACAAGCCGGCGTGAGTAGGTTAAACGTTGAGTTTTATAAGGGCACCACGGGGTGACCAGCCCCTCCCCACCCAGCCCCACCCCTCCCACCCTCCACCCAGCCCCACCCTCCCCACCCAGCCTCACCCCTTCCATTTTTTGATGCACGACGGACGGACACAATAATCCCCTGTGGGCTGGTGGAACTAGGTGGTTCCTACCAATAAAACTCAACGTTTAACCTACTCACGCCAGCTTGTGCCCGCCCTCACAGTCGGGAATATTTGCGGAATACACCACGCCGCCGTTGACCCTGGCCATTGACCGAGCAACCCAACGTTCCTACCAGCTCCCTCCGCAGGAGGAATGTGTTTTTCTACGTGGTTATTGATGCACTCCGCACTTTGTGCATTGATCTGTTCTCTCATAGATCGTCGACAAAATTTCAACATTCTGGCTAGCTGATCCAGCTGACTCACTTCAATATGTAGGATATACCAACATTCACTTTATTCATAATACTGTCATAAATAACAACAATAATTTGCCACCCTTTGTCAACAACTGAACCTTTTTGTTTTACCGTTCTAATATTCCGAATTTACGTGCCTTAATCCACTGCTGGATGAAGGCCCGCATGCAGTACTTTTCCTCATTGGTCATTGCAAGTCGGTGAAGGGGATATCCAGAACCTGTTCACACATCACTCGCTACGGATGTTAGCCGTGACTGGGAATCGAAGTCAGCGCGCTGGCTACATATAGCAGTGCACTAACTAACCACTGTGCTTGCAACTTCACCATGAATGCTGTGTATATATGTACAGTAATCACATAAATAGAACACACATTCGGATACACTGGAGAATTCGTTCGTAAATAATTTGTCAGGCCTGAGTGTTGCCCAAGACGTTTCATGTTGCATGCTATTTAGAAATAATCCATAATATCATTCCTAAATAGAGAAATGTATCAAGTTCACCCCTGTTTCCTCCAGATGTCAGACAGAGCAATTATGTGGCTATGCACGCATTTAAGGTTTAAAAAATATATAATCTAAAACACGTCTAATATTAGGTGTACTTTGAGGAAAGGATATTGAAAGCAAATTAGCCAAGTAGAACGGCTCATAAAGTATCCTGTTTCTCGTCACATTGAGGTTTTCGTGATGCGTTTTTGGGTTGTAGCCTCGTGTTGTTCGACGTTTTCCTCCGCGTGCTGGGAGATTCTTCAGAACTTTTCCAACCTGAAAACACGTTTGGAGAGAATCCTTCATATATTTATGTTAACTATGGCACGAACTACACATTAGGCCTTGAATTATGTATGTCTGCTGTAAGTCATAACAATAGAAGATTCCACTTTCTCATTACCCATACTCCTGAATCGATCTGCAGAAAATTATTTAATCCGCAACTTGAATTCATCCTATTGTTTGACCTTACCTACGGATAAGGTAGATTCCATGGAGGTGGTAGCGGTCTTTCAATTATCCACACTTATCTGTGTTAAATAATTTGTACGTGCACATTCGGACTAGGAGTTACCGGGAGTGGCGACACAATGCTTGCACGCACGCATACACACACAAACGTGTCTAGTGGTGATAACTACTCGCTGTTCGCAAGCTGTGAGGGAGCAGTTGGTAAACAAGGTTTTTCCGCTCAATCAAACAGTTAGGGTCAAATGGGGTGAAGTAGGATCCAAACGCCAGATTGGGAAGAACCAATCGGAGGGGTCCAAGAGGTGGCCGGGGATTAGTTAACCCGGCCACGAACAGGTATAAAAGCCGGAGCGCTGACAGCTCCGAGAGGTTCTGCTACACGAAGACCCAAGTCAGCTGAAGACAGCTAGGACCCTGGACCAAGCCTTCCAGCCCTTGTCAGGGCTGGGGCTCAGTGTAACCAGTGGTCAGGGGAGATAGGTCCTGGATAGGGCCCTGGCTCCCAGCCTTCCCGCCCTTGTGAGGGCGAAGGTCTCGAGCGACCAGAGGTCGGGGACCCGCCGGGCCAGCGGCGGGTCAGTGTGCCTCCCCTAGGTCCCAGCCGAAGGACGCTAGGCTAGCGGGGGAGATAGCCGGCAACTCCGGAGCCTGTAGCATCGTCAGGATAACGGGTAAGGGGACCGTATACCCCTTGTGTTAGGTGTAGCAAGTATTGGTGAATAAAAGCGTGTGGCCTCTAAGAAGCCTTCGTCTCCTTCAAGAACGTTACACGTGTATAACACACACGCGTGTCGATTGCAGGGCTACACACGATACTTTTCCATGAACGCCGCTTGCACGTGTCCACACCATGGCCCCGTGCTGTGCTTTGTCCAGTCGACTGTTCAAGCCGTGGGTTCTTTATCCGTGCCTGTGTGCGCGCGCGCACGTGTGTGTGCGCGTGCCTGTGTGCACCGTCGTGTAGCGGTTAGCGCGCTGTGCTACGAACCTGGCGACCCGGGTTCAATTCCTGCTCACGGCCAACATCAGTGACGATTATCTAAACCAGCCCTGGGCCCTAGGTCGACTCATCCTCAAATGAGTACCTGGTGCGGTGTGTAAACATCGCCACTTGGGAGACAAAGGCGGCCGGGCGTGGTTCTGGCTACCTCGTGTGCTGCGTCGGCTTGATAGATGCTCGCTAACAGCACTTGCCCCAACAGTCTGTTGTAAGGATATGCGGGGGATCTTTGTTTTTTGCGTGTGCGTACAGGTAAAACGTTGCTGGACTGGCTGTCCCATGCCCCGTTCGGAGAGGGGGCTCTCACCTTCGCTGTGACGGGCCCCACGGAGCTGGGTGGCCCAGCTGGTCCAGGTGGCCCAGGTGGACCAGGTGGCCCAGGCGGGCCAGGTGGGCCAGGCGGGCCAGGCATCCAAAGTGGCATGGAGGCCATGCCTGGTGACGCGGTGGGCCTCTGCTGCCACTTGCTGGAAGTGGGGCTGCTTCGAGCTGTCGGGGACTCTTTGGACCGCCTGGCTGTGGCTGATGACTCTCACGCCGACAAGTCGACGTTCAGGGTGAGATGAACTGGATGGCTCCGCTGGAGTGGGAGAAACAATGTTAAGGGGGGCGGGGGGGGAGTGATAGGATGGTTTATTTCAGTCATGTTTTTCCAAAATGCAATTTATCTAACAGGTTTTTTGGGGGTTTTATCGCGTGTTGTTCCCATGATGTCGCAGTATAAGCCGGCAGGGCATCAGGGGGGTTTAACAGCATCACCGTGAAAACCTGTCTTGTAGTAGTATCACTTCTGATTTTTATCAATAACACTGTGGCTTAAAAGGGGTAAAAATATAATAGTTGATGTTTCATGCAATGGCTCTTCTTCGTAGCACATGAATCTGTCTTTTGAAGAAGGGAAAATGTATTTGTTTTGTCGCAGAGCCATATTTCCCAAAACATCACCTGTTGTGTTTTCTTTTTTTAAGGCCCACAGTGTTATTAAATAAAAACAATTTAGATTTCTGTTTGTGCGTCACTGCCAGCTCATCATGACAAGTAATTTGTTTGTGTAATATTGAATTGTTTCTCTTTCACAGTCACCTTTGCCATCTTGTGCTCTGATTGATGCATTGTTTTTCAAGTAGCACCCTGACAATTACAGTCTGTGATTGTATAGAATCTGGAACGTGTAGCTTATTTCAACTTACATCTTACTGACTAAATTCATCTATAGAAAACAAAACTGAAGAGAGGAGAATATAAATATCTATCCCATTCACAAGTAGAATACTTATTCTGGGGAAAAAACATATATTTGTATCCACTGTATCGATTTTCCAAATTACTTTTATGGAAATAAGCATACTTTGATTGGATTGAAAGTTAATTGTAAACTCGGTACATCAGCTGGCTTGCCTATAACAAGTAAACGAGTGGAGTAAAAAGTAAAAAGTACCATACATATAAAATAAGTGTATGAGAAAAAGTATAGAAGTGCTGTACATCTGCACAGACCACCAATGAATTTTGATTTAAAGCCTTCGTGACTGCAGGGATTCATATTCTTGGTTCTTTCGGTAAAGTCCCTTCTACGTGACTTTACCGAAAGAACCAAGAATAAGACCACCAATGGTTTGATGTGCTCTTTTCCTGACCCTGAACCAGTGGTGGAAATTCCACATTTCCATGACAGGGGACAGTCTTTCCATGCAACGGCCACTATTGTATCTCCACAAAAGTGACTTGGGGAGTGATGCGTTGAGCAGACCCTCATTTGGAGTTTGAACTTTCAACCCTGCCACCGTGGGTCATGACTTCTAACCACAGGGACACCCGGTAAATCAGATAAGGGGCTGTCCATAAATGACGTCACGCGATTTTGGAAGATTTTTGACCCCCCCCTCGTCACACGGCGTCACAAAAAGTCAGACCCACCCTCAAATATGACGTCACAAAGCTCTGCCCCCCCCCCCCACCCAAATAAAACATGCTTCAAATCGCTTTAAACTATTGTCATTGTAGTGCGTATTTAATGTGGCGCTGCACTCTGATGTTGTAGGAGAAAACTTTTATTAAAAAGTCTATTTAATTAAGTAGAACGTGTTGTCGATATTTATTTAAAGTTGCGCATTTTGATGTGACGTCACATTTCTCAAACGCCCTCCCCCCTCGTCACACATCGTCACAAATGTCTGACCCCCCCCCCCAGGTGCGTGACGTCATTTTTATGGACGGCCCTTAAGGAGGGATCCATTATTCCACTTTAGATTAGTCTCACATGTGGCAAACATTATAATAATCATTATTATGTATAGCCCTTTGTCAATCGAGTGCTTTATGAAGTGGTTGTGCGAGCTATAGAGATTTATTTAGTGCAGTTGGGTGAAGGCAGGGGCCCAGGACTGGTTCAAATATCGTTCGCCCCTGATGTTAACCGCTGTCTGAAATCAAACTCAGGGTTTCAGCCGCACCACCTCTACATAACAAAAGGCTCAGTCCCATTTACACGCACATTAACATCAGCCGCACCTAGTTTACACAACAAAGGCTCATTCCTAACAGCGTGTTTCAGCTGCACCGAACCTCACAAAAATAATATTCAGGGACTACCTTGGCTCCTCCCACCCTCAACCAGTATATATACAAGGACTGTTTTCTTGGAATTTCTCTTACTTGATACAGCTATCGTGCTGTGACGGTTCCGCCTGAAGACGGAAGCTTGTGCTGCCTCCGAAACGTCGTGATTTAAATTTTATTTTTATTTTACTTTTATTAATTTTAATTTTTACCTACGTGACTTTACCGAACACCTTAGAATATCAGGTAACGGAGTTCACAGAGCAGTGCAAGTACCACTGCGATACCACTCCACCCCGCTCACTTAATATGTAAGACATTCTGAAACGTCTTTACAGAACGGAGCACTTATAAAGTAAATTATTATTTTGCTAATGCGTGTACGGTGTGTACCTATCAGGCCTCCCAGCCAATGCTCGTGTAGTAATATGTTATTTAAAAACAGTTTTTGAAAAAACGGTAATATGATCGATGTGACATTAAATTGCGATCAACATTCTCTTTGGTTTTTTCGGGAAAGTCACGTAAGTGAAAACAAAATAAAATAAAAATAAAACAACTAAATTAAATCACGACGTTTCGGAAGTTTAGTTGTTCTATTTTTATTTTATTTTGTTTTCACCTACATGACTTTACCGAAAAAAACAAAGCGTATGGATCCTTGCAAGTCACGAAAACTTCAAATCTACAATTGCAATCAACATTCTATAACCAAAGCTAGGCAACCGTTCATAAAACATGACTGAGATCATTTGCCAAAGATGAAATCATTCTAATGCATTACAAGCGGGGGGGGGGGGGGGGAGGGGATGCTTCAGAGAGCACAAAAACTACACGATGCAGAGTAGTAGAAGGTTGCACAAAAGAATATGGAGTAGCCAATTCGATGGGTTGCTTTCTAATCCACCACTCCCTGAACTTCACTCACAAGTAGGCGAGACTGGAAATGCATAATTAACAATGTGGTGAATACGTCAGCTTTTGAAGTAAAACCGCATAAGGACTTGATAAGCCAAAACCAAAGCCGTTCTGTTTTTGCTTTGATATGCCCCCGACTGTCATGTTGCACATGTAAGTGCTTGTCATGTTTTACGTGATTTTCTATTTAATCTCTTCATAGTTGACCACTCGAGGATTTGCTTAGAGGTTTTGGGCTGGAACTGGATGGTAGAAATGTCTTTGTTTGGTCTTGGAACTGTCACTGTCGTCGCTGTGCCATGGAAAGAAACGTTTTTCGCAAGAGCAGTCGCTGCGCAGTTTTGTCGTCTGGGAAATATGAAATAACATGGCATGGACGTCCAAGGTTTAATTTATTTTCGCTTGACATCTTGAAAGTGGAGAATTTACCTGGCAGTATTCAACCTTTAGACGCAGGAGATGAAATACGCAAGGCATAAAAAAAAAAACCCTTTAATCTCCGATACGCACACAATTACAATTTATTAAACATCGGGGACAGTGGTATTTTATGAAGGTCATCGTAAGAATTCTGTCAAACATGCCCAGTAAGCAATGAGTACCAAATGATGCAGACCAGAGCAGGTCAATTATTCATGCGAGCTGCACACGTGTAGTGGTATGATTACCTGCTGGCAGTCGGTCGCGAGCTCTGAGGGTAGGCCCAATTTTTTTTCGTGCAGGCTCCATTCAATTATAGAACGCCACAAAACCTGCCACTTGCACGCCAGCCATGGCTTAATTGAAGCGAGTGCCATTTCCAAAATAGGCGCACGTTCAAGTGCAGCGGTGTCTGTGTTTGGTTGGGCAAAGCACTGGGAAAAACCTGCAGAAGCGGTTGGCTCTGCCGTGTGCGGTGAATAATTACCCGTGGTTTGTTACTTCATCTCAAATAGTTTTGAGCTCGCGGGATTGTTTGGACGGAATGCCCACCACGCCACCTAGCTGTCTCAGTGTTTAACTTGGAGAGCAGCGGCGAAGCAGACTTCTGTGAGACCCTCGCCGCGCGGAACTTGACGCTGACCTCGACGATGACCTCGACGATGACCTTGACGCTGACCTCGACGCTCCACACAAAAAGACGTCACCTTTGAGTTTTTCCATCCAGCCTTGGCTGCGCTGCAAGTCACCGATCCAGCAGGTGGATGTGAATACTGAGGAATAATTAAGTCTCAGTGGAAATTATCCCTGTTTTTAACTTTGTTTTACTGTAGGGTATTACTTGGCAGTAGTTTTAGAGGATTGACCTGCATCGCATTATCACTTTTTTTTGCTTCAGTACAAGCAGCCCCACTGAGCTTGTGTTTTTTTTTATAATTTAAACTAAGAGATCGAATATATTGCAGATAAGTCAAGTGCTCTGCCTTTAAACTCTTTGGTCATTTCGTTTGGTGTTGGTTATCCACCTCCAGCAAAATAGCTCATTCCATAAAGAAAATGTCTGCTTGGTGGTGGACATCTAACACATGTACCGAATACAACTGAGACTCACAGAGTACATGCTGTAAATCGTAATTATTGTCTAGGATAGATCTTAAAGATAGGCATGAATATAGTTGAGTCTTTGCTTATAACTATAACAATAAATAAAACAAGTTTTAGTTTTGGACCCCCCCGAAAATCACACCATGGATGTTGATAATTTTATCTTTAGGATAAAACGTAAAAAAATACATCAAGTATCACGCTAAACAATTAAACATAAGCAGTCCCCATCCACCAGTCAACAAAGTAATTTGTCTCATAGTCTTGTAGCTAAAGAGGATGATAAGTGCGTTGAAGTGCTCTCATGGTTACGACAAATAGATAAGCAGAACGTGAATGGCGTTGCATGAGGCATGAGTGATTATGTGTGCGTGCGTAGGGTAACGTTTAGCGCATAGCACTACAAACCTGGCATTCCGTGTTCAATTCCTGTCATAGCCAACACCAGTGACTATTATCTGAATCGGTCATTAGCCTCCCCTAGGTCGAATCCGCCTCAAATGAGTACCTGGTGTGGTGTGCAAACATCGCTACTGGGGAGACAAAGCCGGTCAGGCAAAGTGCTGGCCATCCATACCCCCCTCGTGTGCCATGCTGGTCTTCATAGGTGCTGCGTGCTAACGGCTGTTAAGGGTACACGGGGGAATCTTTGTATTTGTGTGCATCCACAGATGGAGCAGGAGTACACGTGGGTAGCCCTGGGGCAGCAGAGAGCCTCGTGGAAGAGACTACAGGCCGTGTGGCCTCCGCCTGTACTGCCTCAAGACGCAGAGGCCCACCCAACGCTGGACAGCTCCTTGTCGGGTAACATATGCTTGAATTCAGCTCACTCGGCGGTGGCTAGGTTGCTTCGAGGTCAGAGTGATGAGCCGTCACTGCCGAGACCCTGAGTTCAAAAACTAGCAGCCCCCTGCAATTAGTTTGGCTGCATTCCAGCTCTAAGAATTAAATAATAACTGGATTGACTGTGCTTAATTTATTATTTTCCAACCGTGAAATGTTTAACATTTCAGTATGCATATTTAGTCACTTTTGCTACCCTAGAATATCGTTTTATTATGTTGCTATATTTTGAAAAGTCAATGTTTGACAGAAATTTTTTTTTTGAAAAATAACTCAACCTTGAGACTAATTGAATTATTTGTTGTTTTCAGGTGTGGATGACATTAAAGGTACGTGACATTATTTTATCGTAGCTATGATACGAAGAGCAATGTCCTAATGCATCAACCATCAGTGCACTTTCAAATTAAACTTGGTGCCAATCTGACAAAATGCGCATCGTGATCCATTTTGTGAGAGCGCGCAAGGCATTACGACTGTGTGGGTTTGTGTGGTTGTGCCGTACGGCCCTCCGATGATGTTTTTCGGGTTGCGCCGCGTGTTGTTCGGCACCGTGTCCAACGTTTCGCTGCATGTGCTGGGGGGCTTCTTCAGGAACTGAAGCAGCTTTTTCAACTTCGACTTCCTCAGTTCCAGAAGAAGCTCTCGGCACCTGGGATGAAACGTCAGACATCATATCAAACAACCAACACGTGGTACAATCCGGTGAATTCATGAGAGGCGTGGCATTAAAATAATTCATCCCGTGACAGACCGTATACAACCTCGCAAAGTGCTGCAGTGCATACATCTGGGTAGAAAGTTCAACAAATCACTTTCTGTTCCATGTCAACTCTCAGAATAAAATTGAAAACGTCTTCAATCTCTCAGCTTATTGGCCTTCCATAACTGGAAGTTTCTTCAAAGCTTTTGAAAAATTGCGGATATTCACCATCACGTTTCTATGAATCGGTGTTGGGCAGTAGCAGTGCTTGAAATACGTAATAATGTACCAACTGTAAGAACATTTTCTATAATTGGAAGACCAATTGGCCTAAATGCCCTTTGGCCTGCCGTAACGGCAAGGCCAATAAACCGAGCGACAACGGCTATCTTATTTTTTTATGTGGAAGGCGGTTTACTCAATTTCTGTCCAATTATATAGTATAAGTGAACCATAGAATGCAGTTGAAGAGACTGCATACAAACACTTTCAATAATAATTATTTACAACCTTGTCCATCCCCTGCTGGATGATGACCTCCCCATGTCATGTCAGTCATACAAGTTGTTGTGGCACCATGGTGGCGAGATGTTAACTACCTCGCCGGGTATAAATAGGGTCGTGGGTTCGATCCTGATCCCGATCTAGACACCTGTATATTTAGTTAGCGTGTTCCTCTCTCTCCCCTCGGGTGCGTGGTTTTTTTTACAGGACTTCCAGTTTTTCCCTCCACATTTAGAATCATCAGTGCATTTAGAGTATTTGGCTGCTATACATTTCCACGTGATAAGTCACTTTGTTTAGCTATCATTTGTGGCTACTGAAAAAGAGCTACATAGCTCGGTGGGCCTTTCCTAGTAGATCTAAACATAGTTTAGTTTTTGTTTAGTGTTTTGCCATACTTTGCCTCCATGGTTAGCGCAGGTTTGTGACTGGAAGGCCGAGGACTTCTAAACATCACTCGCCACTGGCGTTGGCCATGGCCAGGAATATAACTGTTGGGTTCATACTCTTAGTTTGATACAGCAAATCTGGCTGTGACGGTCCCACTTGATAACGGAGACTTGTGTTGCCTCCGAAACGTCGTGATTTTTATTTTATTTTTTATTTTGATTTAATTTTTTACCTACGTGACTTTACCGAAAGAACTGAGAGTATGAATCCTTGCAGTCACGAAAGCTTCAAATCTAGAATTAACTGTTGGGTCTATTCATAGCACAGCGCAGTAACACTGCCCGAGCAGCGATTTCGCGGGCCAGGAATTTGTGGCCGCGTGGGTTTCCCGAGTGAATTAGCGCACGGCAGCTGATGAAACCTGCTGATGAAACCTACGGCTCAGTTGATTAGCTCACATTAGTGACAAAATCACTGTGGGGATGGCAATGTTATTGGAGGCTTGGTGTAATGAATTGGCTTAAGGAATAATGCGTAGTTGGGCAAAACAAAAGTCTCCCTCCGTAGTTCAGTAGGCTAATGCTGCTTTAGAGCACTGCACTCGTACCGCTGGGGCCAGCTTCTGATGGCCACTTGTAATTAAAATCGTGTTCAAGTGGTGATGGTGTCAGCCCAGTTACCAATGACTGCACACACTATCGACAGTTACATTTGTTGTTTGTTTTTTTGACGTAGATTCCCTTATTCCACGTCTGAGAATTGAAACGTTTCTCTTTGGTAAGTGTTCTTTGCAGGGGATATAAAAGGGCATCGCTTTGTGTTTTATAAGAGGCTCTTAAAGGGGGCTTCAGAAACAGTTTTGCGATGTCACATTCTGCTTCTATTGTATTGCACCAGGTAGTCCCCTGCTTATTGTGAATTTCTGATTGGAAGTTTCTTCCTCTTGTGGCGTGACCAGTGATGACCCAAGTGGAATAGACGTGGATTAGGATGGGAAAACCAGAAATAAAGGCACCTTTTAGGGGCTGCTTTTCATTATTTCGTTCATTTTAATCCGAGCCCAATGTCTTAGGTGAAGAGGTCATATTCGCATGATTTTAGCCCATGATATGGGACTTTGTCTCCACATGCTTTAGATTTCGAGTCTCTTTACTTTGAGAAATAGTGAGTCGAAACGCCGATATTCATGTAGTTATATTTATTGAGTTTTAGAACCAGCTAGCCAAAACTAGGCAAGGACACGGCACCACTATTATTCATCAGGGCAACCAGAGAGCAAAGATGTAGATATTTATTGACTAATAGCTGTAACAGCAAACAATTACACACACATAAGAATCCACAATCTAGAATATAAAGATTAAATTAACAATTTAGGAGAATAATTGAAATCACATTCTTTTAAATTAAAAATGATATCAATGATAATCATACTGTCTGGGACACTTTCAATATTCACCATTGAAGTAAAGTTTGCATGCATCAGAGTCCTGGTGAATCTGAAGGAGGTGTTATTTGTGTCATGATTAACATCTCTACAATGGCACTTAATGATTGATTTGTGTTATGCATTCTATAATGATGTATCAAACCAGGACCCATTTATCATAGTCCTTGTCGATTAACAATGGCCAGCTCACCAGCATCAGTTCGAGCAAGCCTGACTCCGCTTATGAAACACCGAATTTCAAAACCCATCCAGAGTTTCCTTGCATTGAATAATGCAAGCAATTGAATAATACAAGACAACTGATAAGATGCATACCCAGAAGGCCGTGCAACCAATGGATTGTGTAAAAAATATTTGTTTTTAAAGTGTGCAGAGACAAATATCGGTAGGAGGCTGTTATGTATTATTTTAAGAGAAAACTAAAATTGCTCTCAGAGGCAGTGCTGCGCTTTCCCAAAGGTGACCTTGTGCCCATCTGCCTTGTGCCCATCTGCCCATCTGCAGAGCTCCAGGCTTCTCTCATCCACGTGCAGCACCAGCATGAAGAAGAACTACAGAAGCTTCAGGTACTGCTACACCGAGGGATCTTGCGCAGCAGATTCACGTGGATGCGATGTTAACTACTTGGCTTGGTATACAGGAGGTCGTGTGTTCGAGCCCGACCCTGACGCCTTTATATTTGGAAGTTTCTCCCTGTGGTCACTTGGAGTTTTCTCTGGGCCATTCGGTTTTTCCCTCCACATTTAGAATCATGCATTGAAGTATTTGGCTACCTACATATGGTGCGAAAGAAGTTAAACATGCATACGTACTTGAGCTGTCATTTGTGACTAGTTCTCTTCTGAAAAAGGACTATAGCTCAGTGGGCCTTACCTGGTAAAATTTTTTTTTTTTTTAAGTTTAGATTCCATGAGTAACATCATTCATCAGAGACAATTTTCGGTTCAACAGGGAATCCCGTGTTTGCACAAATTAATCGTTGGGTTGTGCACTCAGACAGACTGACCCAGTTCGCCAAGTTTTAGTTTTAATAAGCAGACATTATATATAATAATATAAATATAGATAACTGTGACCAAGTGACTGGTAAACATTTATAATGATTTTCCGGAATGGCTGGAGTGCTGAACTTTGGTGCACATATGAGTCGAGTCTATGTTTAGAAATTTTGAATTTGGGCCCCCAAAAATTCTGCCACCGAGTGGTTTAACTCAAGTTGTAAATACGTTTAATTTCACGCAAAAACTCACAAATAAGTGGTCCCCATCGTCACCAAACTATGTCATTCACCTTCGATGGTGTGCAATGCTAAAGTCAATTGCTAGCATATGCCTCTAGTTTTCATAGATTATGATAGAGCCGTTGCATTATTCCAGAGGCCCCAAAATTCCGAGCCCACCACATGTTATTGATAATACACAGGAGTGTTCACTTTGAGCTTAGAAATGACTTGAATGATTTCAATATTTCTATTTTAAAGCTTTCGTGACTGCAGGGATTCATCTTCTTGGTTCTTTACCGAAAGAACCAAGAAGATAATTTCAATATCCCTACAGATGCACTTTTAAACATTAGTTGTAATCATCGTGAAAGACAATGACAAAATTCGCACATTTGAAAACATAGCTTTTAAAATTTGCGTACCAGCTTCATCGTGGAGGTTTGATCTGCACGCCCGTAACCCTTTCAGGACGAGAACGAGCAGGCGGTGACGCAAACTTGCGGCGAGCATGCGCGCCGTGTCTCGGACCTGGAGAGGACCATCGCAGAACTCCAGCAGAGGCTGAGCGAGCTGAGCGCACGCCCGCCGGCCGACACGAGGGAGGCGGGGGTGGACACGCAAGGCGATGTGTACACCACCATGCTGCAGCACACCGCGGTCCAGACTGAAAAACTAAACCTCCTGCTCGCCCTGGAGGAGCGCAACCAGCAGGCCAAGGGCGTGCAGACGTCGCCGGAGAAACCGAGGCATTCTCCGCCGAGCGATGTTTTTTCCAAAGAAGTGCCTTCATCACAACTGCAGCTCGGCGGCTCTGCAGAGCTGAGCAGCTTGATACCGCTACCTCCTCCGCTCCCAGGAGGTCCGGACTCTTCTGTGCCTCCACCACCTCCACCACCACCTCCTCCGCCGCCACCGCCGCTTCCACCTCTTCCCGAAGGATACATCCCTATTCCTCCTCCGCTTCCAGGAGGTTTTGTGTGCCCGCCTCCTCCGCCACCTCCTCCGCCTCCTCCGCCACCCCCGCCACCCCCGCCACCTCCTCTGCCAGGAGCTTCAGCATTCATCCCTCCTCCACCACCTCTGCCGGGAGGCCCAATGTGTCCACCTCCTCCGCCTCCTCTGCCGGGAGGCCCAATGTGTCCGCCTCCTCTGCCTCCTCCGCCTCTACCGGGGGCCTCAGGTGCTCCTCCAATGCCCCCACCGGCGCCGCCAGGGCACGGTCTGAGCGCGCAGATGATGCTACCCGGGGGAGGCCTCGCGTTGACCCCACTGACGTCGATCCTTGACAAGCAGAGCAGGAAGCCGCCCGTGGAGCCGAGCTGCCCTATGAAGCCACTTTATTGGACCCGCCTTCAGCTCAAAGTGAAGAGGTACCGTCTGATGGGTGGACAATCGTCATGGTAAAGCAATACATGGTTGGGTGTGTAATCCTCTGAGCTGTATTGCTCTCAGATGTGTTTTCGGGTTGGTCTGCGATTTGTCCGGCATGGTGAGGACGTTTAGCTGCTCTTGCTGGAAGATTCTTGCTCGGTCGTGTAACGTTGCAGGCCTGCTTCTGGTATTTGCTGATTGGCTTAGATCAATGTAGGCCAGTCTACATCAGCACCACCAGCAGCAGCAGCAGCAAGCAACGCTACTTACTTGAGAGAGAAAGTGAGCAGACATTGTGCCAAACAAAGCGCGGTAACAACCCGCAAACACATCGGAGAGCTGAGCAGTGGCATGACTGTGAAGACCTAAGCAGCAATTTTCTTCCAAGGTTTGTCTCGGTGCAGCTCTGCTGGCGGGCAGCATAATAAAATAATTCTCACGACGTTTCGGCCACAATGGCTGCTTGCGTTGGTGGCCAAAACGTCGTGAGAATTATTTTATTATGTTTTAGTTTTATTATTATTAATTTATTATTTCCATTCTACGTGACTTTACTGAAAGAACCAAGAAAATGAGAAACTTCTTCTCTTTTCCCATCCTCCGTCAGACAGACTTTCTGCACAGTGGTTCAGAGTAACGCTCTAAGTTAATGCATACATCATTAGTTATCATTCAAGACTCTCCAGTATGTGTCTTGACTTCCAAGTAATGTTGTATTCTAACTCATGTTAAAAAAAATTTACTCGTATTATTTGTCAAAATGAGTGGTTGATTTATTCAGATGCCCAGAACATTATTTGCACCCCTAATGTTGAGGATTGTACAATTGACTGAAGGCTGTAGATACAGCAGATATTTAACTTGTATCTATAAAAGGTCCTTCCACTTCTTCTCTACGATGTTACGGCTTAGATCCTTGTTTACTCTTGACGAAACTGAACCTATACACCTTTGGAACCTCATTTGCCAGTAAAAATTTATGATTATTGTTTTTTTACCCTTTTATCTGGCAACAAAACTGACACATTTTTTACAAGGAGTCATGTTTGCATAGACCACAATACCTGCAGTCATAATGCAAACAGTTTTGTTGCCAGATAAAAGGGTAAAAAAACAATTATCATATTTTTTACTGGCAAATGAGGTTCCAATGGTGTAAATGCTTAACCCCGAGCTCTCATACTCTGATGGTGCATTGTCTTTGAGTTGTGCGCCTTTTTGCATCATCTGGTCCAACACAATGTGAGACTAGGCTCTAAGGAAAGCTGTCTCGGGTGTGGACCAATCAACTTCAAGGACAGTGCATACATTATCAGAGTTATGTTTTTTGTTTGCATTATGACTGCAGGTATTGTGGTCTATGCAAACATGACTCCTTGTAAAAAAGGTGTCAGTTTTGTTGCCAGATAAAAGGGTAAAAAAACAATTATCGAAACTGAACCTGTCTGTCACAGCACTTGAGTAAATGTCATCATGGAGCGTCGATTAAGGGGCCATTCTAACGAGAAGGAACGCCGTACTTTTGGTATAATTGATGAGCCATCTATGCCTTATGACCTTTGACATAGATTCAAAAGAAGATGCAATTACAACACCATTGGAGGTCAACAGTGACTCAAGTCAGCTCCTACTAAAATGAGCATTGAGGCTGAACCACTTTTCGTGGGGTATTTTTTTTTTAAACAAAACACTTTCAGACCAGGTTCCCCCCCTGTGGCAATATTTGTATTACCTTCAAAATTTGTGTAGCCTGTATATTTTAGTATTTCGTTTTGAGCGTATTCCACATGAGCTCCCACGTGACAGTCGGGCTCTTGTGCGTTTTGGTTTGTGAATCGTGAAGGGACGATAGCAGCGATACATTCTGGGACAGCCTGGAGGAGCTGGTGATCAACCCCAAGGAGTTTGAAGAGCTCTTCTCGAAGAAGAGCGTCAAGGAGAAGAAGAAACCACTGGCGGACACTTTCATTAAGAAGTCTAAAGTCAAGCAGGTGAGTACACCAACGGATCGATGAAGAAAGTTAAGGAAGCGTTGTCTCTGCAGTGTGAATTAGCATTGTCATCATCGTTCACCTCCACAAAGCCTCTTGTGTTGACTATTCAAACTTTAAGTGCCACGATGCTGCTCTCTCTAGCCAAGAGAATCGCTCATTTATTGATCAACTTACCCTGACACCGAATGTGCCTGATCGCTGAATATACTTGATCTTGCTATATATTGTAACCTCTGCAGGTTTTAGCCTGGTGTCTTATTTGGATGTGGGATTATCTTGGAAATACTATGTGTTTGTAGGTTTTTGCTGTGAGATGGCAGTTGATGGTAGTACCCCAAAGTAATATTTAAATGTATCGATGCAGAACTTTGATTGTTGCCCCCTGATGGACGTGGTTTTTCTCTGGATTCGCCGATTCTCCCCGCACATGAAACGAAACTCCCCTTAAAGAAATTTGACAAACAACACTGAGGCCTTCATGGATAAACAAAGATAATTACAGTCATTACTGTATGTTTTGTAGTATTCGGCCAGCTGTTGAAATTCTATATTCCGATTAGTCGCGATGTGTTTGTCTATTGGAAAACCAAAGTTTACTTCCCACTGCCTTAGTTATAGTTCAAAAGAGTCACGTAATTTATATTCAGGGTTAGAGTTCAAAAGAGTCACGAAATTTATATTCAGGGATCAATCTTACGCCTGGAACCACAGAACGTTTAACTTTATAATGTCACCTCAAATAATGTTTTCGTTTCAGCACGATCCCAGGCCAATGCCTGGCCATGTCATTTAACGCTGCGGGAAACATCATATAGAGCAGTGAACGCAAATAAAAATGAAGGCTTTTAAAGGCTTTGCCTTCTTTTACTTTACGCATTGGTACATGACAGATGATACTTTGTTTACGGATCCCATAGGAATGAGGCGCTGAATTGACCTTGAATTTGATTTATAACTTAGACCCTTATGGTCATTAGCTCGCTGTTCTCTAAGGTGACCATTACCGGTTACATGCCCTGTGCCTACAACTAAAGTATTTGTTTTATTCCGTCAACCTCGGGGGGCTTTCCAGATGATTGTTTTGCAACAACAATTAAGCAAACTGTGGACTGGTTCCAACCTTTTGGCTCGCATCATCAAGAGTGTGGCCTGTTAAATCCATAATGGTGGGCTGCCAGATGTTATTGGAAAGAGCCAGTGTTGGCTCTTCTTTGTGAACATATAATATTTTTTTTGGTATAAGATGCTGGCATGGTGCAACTGGACATGCGATCCGAAGGTCGTTGGGTCGATCTCCCAGTGCAGTGGTTGAAACTATGGGCACGTTTCTTAAATTGCCTCTGCCTATCAGAATAAATGGGTGCACCACGATCGGTGGAGTCGGGTGTCCTGGGTGTAAGGTGCGGTTACTGCTGCCTCTTCCCAGGCGTCCTGGCCAGTGTTGAAGAGCAGTCCTGAAATACCCCTCCATAAGGGCTCTCTACCGTTCACCCGAGTGGCAGGCCCATTCATCAGAATGGCCATGAGCAAGCAATGGCAGAGGCGGCCTCGATCTTTGATATTTTCTGTGGCAAAAGGCATCTATCTATTTCATGCTGTGGATGGATATTTTTGTTTCCATATCAGAGTTCTCTAGGAAATCGGTGGATTGCTGTTGGGCGCATGCAGGTGCCGTCCACGGTTGCTTTGTTGCAGTGCTCATATTTTCCTGGCACAGGTCGTGAAGGTCCTGGACAGCAAGCGGTCGCAAGCCGTCGGTATCCTCATGTCCAGCCTCCACCTGGAGATGAAGGACATTCAGCAAGGTGTGCCATCTCTCGCTTCGTTTGACACGCACACCGGATGGTGCGTCTTATATCGCATCACCGGTGGCGAGACGTTAGCTACCTTGCCTGGTATACAGGAGGTCGTGGGTTCGATTCCGACCCTGACGCCTGTATATTTGGAGTTTGCATGTTCTCCCCGTGGTCATGTAGATTTTCGCCGGGTCCTCCGGTTTTTTCCACCCAAATTTAGAAACGTGCGTTTGAAGTATTTGGCTGCTATCCATGTTCACATGATAAGCCACTTGGTTGAGCTATCATTTGTGGCCAGGTCGCTTCTGAAAAAGAGCTACATATCTCAGTGGGCCTTGCCTTGTATATTAAAACATAGTTTAGTTTTAGTTTAGTGTTTGACCATACTTTGCCTCCATGATTAGTGCAGGTTAGTAACTGGAAGGCAAGAGGACTTATAAATATCACTCTCCACTTGTGTTGGCCACCAGTGGAGAGTGATATATGGCTCCGTGGGCCCTACCTGGTAAAATAACAAACATAGTTTCAGTTTATAGTTTAGAATGCGTCCGATCCCGACACATCTCGGAAGCTAAGCAGGCTGGCACTTGCACGTGGCATAGATGGGTGACCACCATGCACGATAGGCTGTTATCAGCTCTGGGGCTATTTGGCTATTTTGGTGGACAGGAGAGGAAAGGGCAAAAACAAATGATTGTTATACTGTACACGATGCTGTACTTCTAAGTCTTTGATCCCCGACTTCACTGACCCACACTAACTAGTGGGATGAAGTATGGTCAGATAACATGTTAAGGCTGGCACGGTGTAGGGAAGCCCTCGCACAGCAGTGGATTGACCAAGGGCTTGTATATGTCCCAGCTGGTACACATTGCGTTGCTGCCCTCAAAACTCTCTTTGTGAGACTCAGGCATGAACACTGAGCCGCAGGCATTCACATGAACCCCGAGGAATAGCGGTGAAACATAGACATTACACCGATGACACAACTGAGATAACATTGTGAAGAAAAGCAACAGAGGGATTTTGCCAAACATCCAAATGCAGAACCCTCTTAAGTGAGAGTCTTGAGACTCAATGAGGTATTCTTTAGTAAATAAATACAATTATTAGTACGTCTGCCTCATACGGTGCTGTATTGTTCCTGAAATTATATCCTGTCCGTGGCTGCTACGTATGTAAGATGCTCGATTGTTTTTATACGTATAAAATATGATGACAATAATGCACAAATTGATAGTAAAGAGCGTGCTTTGTCATGTCAGAGCAGCACCCCACGTGTGCCGTGGCCTTCGGCTGACAGAGAACGCGCCCTGGCTGTCTGCTATTGTCACCCAAACGCTCCCTGTCATAGTCCGTGTAGGGTCAGCATTTGTGAGCAGTGATTCTGGCAAATTGCCCCTTGTCAGAGTTATGTCCAACGTCCAACATAACTCGGTGTAATTTGTGGAGTGTAACAAGGCAACCCCCTTAAAGCTTTTGTTAGCGATCGCATATAATCCCGTGAGAAAGAAAAAAAATGCTATTTATTTGTAAATTTGTCATACAGTTCGCGTCTGAAATTAGGCCATGTTATGCAAGTCATTTTAAACGATTTTTAAAGAATTAAATAGTCTTCATGTTAATTATTTTATGGTGCGCCTCCAAATAACTCTTGGTAAACACTGTGCTTTGAATGTTTGAAAACATTAACGTTATCTCTTTACTCCGAGCAATGAATGTGAAGCATTTGCATGTTGTATGTCTCTGACAGCTGTCTTATACTTGGATAATTCCGTGGTCGATTTGGAGACACTGCAGGCGCTTTATGAAAATGTGAGTGTCACACACGAAGCTTCACGCCAGATTACTTGGGTGGGGGGGGGGGAACTTTTAATGGAAGAAGTTTAGGAACGGATGCTCTGTGTTTTTCGCCTGATAAAAAAGCCAATTACGATAAAATGAACAGAAATATATATATATCCGCATATGTAGGTACATTTCTAAGTCACCATTAGTATTCAATCCCATTGATATAGTCCATAAACAAAAGTTAATGGATATGTAAAACATTATTATCATGGTGGCAGAGTTCTTGGCACACTTTGCAATCAATCCGACGCTCTGGGTTCAATTCCCGGCCACAGCCAGAATCGGTGGCAAGTGACAATTTTACAACGAGTTCTAATCCCCCCCTTCACCAAACCTGCATTAACGAGCATCATGAAGTATGGTCACACTACCCTCGTGACTGACACATTATAAGGCGTTGATATCATCCAACAGTGCATTGACAAACAGCTGCACATTATTATGGTGTATTTTTCAATAAACATTTGAATTTTATATCCATATATAATACAACTCATTTGCCAATTAGAATGTTATAGGAATACGTGTATTTGAAATTACACGTTGGTTTAGAGCCAGTATTCTTGAGGTGGTTGGTTAGTCCAGAGGGTCAGGGCACGAATGAGATCCTCGGTGTAAATGCTGTCATGGAACCGGCATCTAAAGCGGAGTGAGTTGATGGTCTCCAATGACTGCACAAAAAAACTCTCATTAAGTTTGCTTCCGCACTTAATTTCGCTAATATCCAACTATGGGAATGGAAAATATCAGTTTGATTGTCATGCAGTGAACGATGCTGTCTGTGGCATAGCGAGTGAGAGAGCGTTGTCCTCTGTGGTGTGGAGCAGTGGTCACTTGAAGGAGGTTTCAGAGGTCGCTCTGTGATATCCACTTCCTGTGGGCTGTTCTCTAACATGAAGGATTTCGCTGCTCTTGCGAGAGATCCAATATATACTTGCCTCATGACGCCGGCATCACAAAGGGAGAAAGACAAAAGACAAAAAAGACCAATAGTCATTCCGTGGAGAGCATTCCGCCATCGCTGCTGTAGGTTTTCACGTTTGCGCTGCGTAGCCCTCCAATGTGTTGTTCGGCATCATGTCCGACGTTTCTCTGCACACACTAGGAGCTCCTACAGGAACCCAATCGAGCTGCTGAATTGCTCTCTCAAAAAACAAAGCGTTGGCTGCTGCTGTTTGCATAGGCCGGCACTGATGTTGAGCCGAGCCAATCGGTAACACCAGCAGCGGTCCTGCAACGCTCTGTATCACCGCGGTAGAATGCCAGCAGCGCTGTTTGGCTCCAAAAGGAAGCTCGGCATGATGCGGAGCAAATAATCGGAACGCCATGCCGAACAGCTTGCGGTTTAAAAAGTCCATCATTCCCGTCCACCAGAGGGTGCTGCTTAGCCGTGTGCTTGTTTGTTGCTTTCATATGGAAATGCTTTTGCAGAGAGCCCAGAAGGAAGAACTTGAGAAGATAGAGAAGCACGTGAAGCCGAGCAAAGACAAGAGCGAGCACAAGCCACTGGACAAACCCGAGCAGTAAGCCCAACGTTGTTGACCGACGTCACGGTGTCTCATTCACGTTCGCGTCTGCCGTTCATCGTTGTGCTCAGCGTTGTCACGAATGCTTTGTTTCCATTGGACGCACAACCCGAGTCGCGACTCTGGCGGGATCCGAGTTGGCCTGGCTTCTCCCAGAACTCACATTGAATGACGAGTCGATTTGGTAAATTGTCAACGAAAATGCGGCGTTTGCGTGATTTGCCGAATCGCTCGATTCATTCTGTGAGCTGGGCAGATCTTTCTCAGACGTTCTTTTCAGCAAAACTTTTCCGAAAATAATAGAATAGGTGAAGACCACATTGCTGACACATGTATACATTGAACTTTAACTGAAATCTTCCTACACAACAAAATGTTTGATTGAGGAGGAGAAGTGGTGAATTGTTAAACTCCCCATTGAGCTCGTTTGCTCTCTCATGAGCATTGCCACGAAAACAACGGCATCATCTCGGCTACTCTGCTCGTTGCTCACACACCCAACCTCTCTTTGCCACTTTTCTCACATTTTTTTGTTGCTAAACTCACCCACCGGTGTCGCAAACTCCACTCAATGTGAGTGGACAATAAGATCATGTTACTGACCTGCAAGGCGCTAAATAGACGCCTTACAAATGTCAATTATTGTTCCCCCGGTGTTCCAACTCGCAGAACATACATCGCTGTTATCAATAACAACAATTACGCCCGAGCCAGCGTTGCTTTTGAAAGCCACAGATGGCGTCACAACCAAATAAAATCCTACCCCACTCCTGGGATCTCGCCACTAAATCCACGTTTCATTTTCACGTTTTCCGCTGTTAAATGGCGGTGTGCTTAGCGCATGTTGCATTTCGCGTCGCTAACCACAAGGTGGCGGTCTCACTCTGCTCGCCTGTGTTTCGCTGTGACGAGAGAGGCAATGTGCCTCTCTCAATGTGCCTCTCTCATCACAATGCCTCTCACGCTGACAGTGATTGTTGAATGGCATTGGTGGCTGCCCTCCGTGATTGCCTTTGTCTTGTTTCTCTCGATGGGTTGGTTTATATGCTACAACGGTGATGCAATGTCAACAAGCATTTGACTTCGATAACATTAAAAACAGACATGTTTTCATGCACATCCGTTTGAATGCAAGGAACAAAATGACGCATCTTAGTAAAACAACGCATGATGGTTTCCCTCAAAAGTTGTAATAATCAAACATCTGTAGCCAAATAATTGTAAAAAAAAAAATGAAGTTAATTCACGAAATAATTTTTATAAAAAAACACGTGCAACCGGTCTATTGCCGATAGCACAGTATACCAAACTCCAGTCCTCAACCCCCTACAGTGAGTAGAGTCTACGGTTCCTCACCTACCTGCAATCTCCTTTCAAATTCAAATGAAGTCATTACACGCTGCGTGTGCTCAGAAATGGCCCCCACGTCACGTGACACCAATTCGCATGAAATGGCCCTCTTTTGTGTGTATGTGTTCACACATGCCTCGCGTGATGTAGAGTGCTATTTGAATATCTTATGCCATGTGGCGCATGTTTAGCGAGCTTCAGGCACATTCAGCATGTAATGAACCTTTCAGCATTTCCACGGAGAAGATCGCGGTGTGCTGTGAGGAGAAGATTTTTGGAAGCCCTGGCGAGTTTTTAATTGTAACGGGGACTGTACGAGCGGCTTGATTTCAGCTGTTTCTGTTCGGCTCAGCGGCTTATAAAATATTTCCCAATGCAGCACACCACATCCAGTATACCTCTCACGAGGGCTCTGGCTATTAAATACACGACACCTCTCGGACCTACTCCAGTCTAATCAGCAGTCCAGAAAACATTCCATGATAATTCAAGCCCTGACCGTGGGGACTGCAGTCTGGCGCCGGGCCTTCTTACTTTTTCATTGGTAATGGTGGCTCTTTGTGTGTGTGCGCGTGTGTGTGTGCTCGTGTGCCAAGGTTCCTGTACGAGCTGTCACGGATTCCGTGCTTCGCGGAACGCGTGTTCTGCGTCATCTTCCAGGCCACGTTCACCGAGGGCATCACCACGATCCGCCGCAAGATGCTCATCCTGCAGCGCGTGTGCAAGGTGCGACGCCACCTCACCACTTATCATCATCATCATGATCGTCATCATAATAAAAATTTGTTTTTGATATCGCACCCTTTATGCCGGGCCGTCTCAGAGCGCGTTACACGCAATAAGCAACTTAACGTCACTTCTCATCTCAAACATTTGAAAGGGCACCCCCAGGGGCAGCTGTCCCCGTGTGGCACAGGGTGACTCGGCACCGGCCTGCCAGCGGGGCGTTACTCTGCCAGTAGCGGGAGGGAGGCGATGATTGCTGCTGCTGCTGCGTGTAATAGCAATTGAGTGATTTGCAGGTAATTTAATTTGGTATTAATTATAGATGTGAAGCTTTTGTGACTGCAAGGATTCATATTCTTAGGTTTTTTCGGTAAAGTCACGTAGGTAAAAAATTTAAATTAATAAAAGTTAAATAAAAATAAAAATATGTTTGTTTGTGCATGACGCCGGCACACAATGGCCCACTCATAAGCCGGGGGGCACCCCTTCCCCGTCTCCCGTGAAGCAGATGGCGCGAATGTTTTTACGCCGGGCGTTTTCACTGCCTCAGACCATAACACGACGTGCGTATCCCTCTCATGCCTCATCTCCCTCTGATCTCTTAATTTATCATCGTGTGTTGCGTTTGTGTGTTGCGCCTCGTCCTCCCTCTGCGTCTGCTTGACCTCGCTGTTGGTGCGGCCGGTGGCGCCGCCATCAGAGCCTGCGCACCAGCGAGGGAGTGCAGCAGGTGCTGGGTCTCATCCTGGCGCTGGGGAACTACATGAACGGCGGGAACCGCACTCGGGGCCAGGCAGACGGATTCGGCCTCGAGATCCTTCCCAAGCTCAGCGACGTCAAGAGCAGCGTACGCGCCCCCCCTACCCCTCTCCTCCCTTGTCACGCGAGGGTCAAGGGATCGGTAGATTTACTCACTCTGCCAGTGAAGTACGCTAGAGTGGATCGAGGCTGCAGAGAGAGTGAGAAATGATGACGTAAGGAAACGGTTGGAGGTGAAAACAACCTTCGCGGACAAAGTCAAGGAGAGAAGAGACGACGTTGGTGTTCGTGCACGCTACGAGACTGAGCCTGGAGTGGATTCCGTCGTTAGTGATGCAGACAGGAGTGGAAGTAAAGAGGAGTAGGGGAAGAGAGAACACCAGGTAGATAGATGTAGTGGTCAGTTTAACACGTAGGCTTTCGCGACCAATATTATTCATAATCAACGTTTTTGGGTTTAGATCGCGTTATTTATAAATGTGTCATAACCCTCCACCACCCGACACGGCCAATCAGTAAAAAAGTGTCACGTTGACAAGAGACAAATTAGTTCACTGCTTTAGCCTACCGGTGTGTTGAAGCGCGAAACCACAACATTTACAATTTGAGTACGACGTTTCGCTGGTAATTGCAACCAGCATCATTGGGCAATTCGCCAGAATGGTGAGGCTCTGCTGTGTCTCCCGTTCTTATATAGAGCAGCAGCAGGGTGACGTCATCATTAACTCATTAAATCATCAGGTGCAAGGATTTGAGGGGGGAGTTATTGTAATTATATACTAGATTAGTAATCGGGCTATTGTTACGCTGCGAGTTGTAGATTAGTAATCATTTGGAATGTGTTTTATTGTGAATATGCCACATTAGTAATCAGTTAGTGTTTGTTTCCCTTATAAGGAATTGTATCTTATTTAATAATACGCTTCCAGCGAAACGTCGTACTCAAATTGTAAATGTTGTGGTTTCGCGCTTCAACACACCGGTGGGCTAAAGCAGTGAACTAATTTGTCTTTTGTCAACGTGACACTTTTTTACTGATTGGCCGTGTCGGGTGGTGGAGGGTTACGACACATTTATAAATAAGGCGATCTAAACCCAAAAACGTTGATTATGAGATGCAGTGGTAAGAGATCTAGAAGAATGAGGAATGAGATTGAGACGAGCAGTGATACTGGATAAAGAAAGAAACCCATGGTGGAAATTCATCCGGCCATATCTTTGCTGATGAGCTGATAGAAGAGACCGATTATATATTTGCAGGTATATAGTAGACATGGTGGAGGAAGAGTGGCATAGTGATCCATGCACTACACTATGAACCTGGTAACCTAAGTTAGGTTCTTGGCCATGGCTGACATCAGTGGTGAGTGATATCCCCATAACTGAGATAGCCTGGGGAAGCCTTCAACTAGTAGTGGACTACCAAAGGGCTTTAGATTGTTATGTTTGTTAGACATTAAAAATTCGGCCCTCAGTAGTTTTAGAATGGCGATGAAACTTTTTTAGGATCATTATTCAGTATCCAGGGATATTCTTGCTTGCGTATTTTTTGAAGTCTCATCAATTTGTGTGATCTTTATTTTTGTCATTTATATGCGGTTATGTTCCCGCAAGGAAGCCAAAAGGCACAATTAGCCTATCATTTGAATATAATTTGCATTTAATTGTAGATATTCAAATTACAGTCAAAGTTTTGACTCTGTGCTTAAGCATAATTTTAAATCAATTATGACATGCCTAGTGTGTAGGTCGAGTGTTTAGCATCAGGTATCTATTATTTCTGTGCGTGTGCCTCGAAGCTTATACTCGCCATAAAAAATGGCCGAACGTTGACAAATGTGGTCTAAGTGAAACCAGAATGACTGTCGGGAGGTAATGGAACAATGAAATTGGTTGGTTAACCTTAGACCTCCGAGTAGTAAATATGTACGGGGGCGTGTGGGGGTAACCAACTTCATAGATAGAAACGATGTATTTTATGCACCCTGGAATAACGATTCTAATTCTAATTGATGGACATTCGGTTTGCATTACAGCTCACTTGTTCCCATCCTGAGACGGGCTTATCGCTCATGGCCATGCGAGAAGCAAAAAGCACCGAAAAGCGAGCTCAATAGGAATCATCATGGGACCTCCCTTGCCAATATCAAAGCATAAGAATAGGTTTTACCCTTTCTGGCAATAAAACGGTTGTGTTAAGATGTTAGAAAACCAAACAGAAACCTTTTGCAAGGAATCATGTCTGCATTAACCACATATACTTGTGGTGAACATGCAAACAAAAAAGAACACGGTCTTTGAAACTGATTGGTCCACACCAAAAAACAGCTTTTATTAGAGCCTCGTCTCAAACGGTGTTGGACCAGAGGACGCCAAAACGCGAACAGGAATGAGTCGGAGTATTTTTTTGGAAGTTTTGTCGATGTTACAGAGGTTTCAGTCTTTTCTTAATATTTTCAAACCAACCGAACATTTATAAACTAACCAATTTTTTTGTATTTTACCAGATGAGGCTCATTGAGCTCTATAGCTCTTTTTCAGAAGCAACCTGGCCACAAATTATATCCCAATGAGAAGTGGCTTACCGTGTGGAAATGTATAGCAGCCAAATACTCTAAACGCACGTTTAAAAATGTTGAGGGAAATACCCGAGGACCCGGAGAAAATTCATGTGACCACGGGGAGTACATGCAAACTCCAAATATACAGCAGCAGGAGTCAGGGTCGGGATCGAATCCACAACCTCCTGTATACCAGGCGAGGCGGTTAACATTTCACCACCACGGCACCCAGAGTCACCAGATGAACTCACGTGTGACCTTCTCGGGTTTGGATTCACACTCGTGTGGAAAGAAAGGTGGAATGGAGAGGCTGTGGGCATAAGGAGAGTACACCGGTTAGAGCACCGTCCTACGAAACCAGCGACACGAGTTCGATTCCAAACCGTGGCGACTGACATCAATGGCAAAGTGATATCAAAACCATCCACCATTCACCAATCCACATTGACTAATGTGGTGAAGTATGGTCAAAACAAACCCTCATAACTGACAAGGTGTATTGAGGCCTTCATCCATCGGTTTATTGAGTGGCTGGAATGTTTTTTTTTTATAAAAAAGAATTGTTTAACTTTATTTATGTTGCTGTGATTTATAAACTTTTGGCAACTCATTGGTATAGGTGAACAATATGCTAGGTTCTTATTTTACAAAATAATCTAATATGCATTTATGATATTTCATACATCAACAATGCTTACTAAAAGCAGATGCTGTGATTACTTCAAGGTATTTACAGCACGTTTTATTTTATTTTGAAGTTTCCAAATGGCTATGCAGAATTGCCGTGTTCACTGTATGTATGTCATGTCTAATGTATGTCATGTTTAATGAATGCAACCCAAATCTCTCGCCAATAGAAAATCTACATGGTATTTGCACGTGTTAATTCTGTAAAGACCAAAAAAAATTGTAGTTGATAAAATACTGGCCAGAAAACAACTATCATGAACAAATAATTGGTCATTATTTTTTTAAAGATATTAAACATTTTTTTATCTTTACCAGCAGATTAACATTAGCCTCACTTGCCATCAAACAGCGTGCTTTCTACGTACAACTCAATTTAGCTATTCCACAGGTTTAGTAAATACTTATTTTTTACATTTTTAAAGCTGATTTTTAAACCAACAAACGCTAGATTCATAATTGGCTTATTTTGGGTTTGGTCTTAAATAATGTGTTTGTCGTAAACCCTCCTCCACCCGACAAAGACAATTAATAAAAGTGTCACGTGAATTAAACGTGCCAAGTTTATTACAGCTTTGGCAGCACCACCGGTGTTGTTAGAGGGCAAACCCCCAACATTTAAACGGACGCGACATATCACCGGAGATGACATCGGCATCGTTACATCGTTACCACGAGCTCGGATCTCAACTGCAAGCGCTTAACTGGAGATATCTTCTTGGTTCTTTCAGTATTATGTTTTATTTTTATTATTTATTTTATTATTCTTTTTTTATTTCCCTTCGACGTGACTTTACCGAAAGAACCAAGAAGATGAATACCTGCAGTCACGAAAGCTGTAAATCGAAAATTCCTGGAGATACTTGTGTAAAACTTGGGAGCAAGAGAAAGTCACAGCGAATGAATATTTCATACTCATCTTACTGCATGTGATGTCACCATTGCGCTGCTTATATCTCTGGTGCGTCGGCGGGTTTGTGCCAAATTTTGTGCGGCGTGATGTCTGATGTTTCGATGCACGTGCTGGGAAGCTTCTTCAGTTCCTGAGCTCTTTCAATTGTGAAGTTGGAACGATCGTTTATACAAAGCAAAATCATCATCACGGCACGTATATAAATCACCAAATAAATCCACAACATATTGGATCGTGCCAAGCAACATGCCGTGCAACCTGAGAACACATCACGGAGCTATTTTATTCACCGGTGATGCATTCACATGCCTTTTATTATTCGTTCTTTGTTTTGCCCACTTCACCTTTGGCAAGAGCCTGGAATAATTGAGTACATCTGATCTCTTGTGTTTTTCCCCCCTCTCATTAGGACAATCGAATCAGCCTGGTCAGCTACATCGTGACGTTTTATCTGAGAAACATCGACAAGGTAGCGGATGGTGGTGGTGGTGGTTGGGGGGGGGGGTGTTCGCCCCTGTCTGCATTAATCAACGCGATGGGGACCTCCCCCACGCTCGGGGGACATTACGAGCAGCGCCGCTTGCGGCATCAAAGCCCCCCGCGAGTTTCAAAGTCGTCGTCACCGTCTTCGTTTGCATTCTTTGGGCTCTCGCTTGATCGGCTCCACATGTTGTTCGGACGTGGCATGGGTCACTCTTAGCGAGCCGGATAATTAGTTGTGCAGGCTTGTCGCTTGTCATTGCTGGGCAGGGCCATGGATGCCACTTGCCTCCCTAGGGGGTTTACCTATCTGTCTGTGTAGCATGCTCCCCTCTCTTTCTTGCTCGCACTGATATCCTTTTTGCACGCGCTTGTGTGTGTGTGCGCGTCTTGTACATGTAGAGCTATGTGCGTGTGTGCCTATAAAGGCGGTCCCGTTTGTCTAGTCTTTGCATGCCTCGCCTTTTTTTGTTATTTGTAGTTGTGTTGTTTTAAATGCAACTTTTGTCTGCGTTAGATTGCTTCCTTGTTGAAGATAAATGTGTTTGTGTCTTTAACTGACAAAATATACACGTGCACAGTTCCATGATAATGTAGCACATTGCTGAATTCATGTACGAGCACTACATGGTAGTGTATACAAGCCAAAAAAACCGTGAGATGTCATACTGCACAAACAAACAATGCATACAAAACTAAATAAAGAAACCAAAAAATAAATATTATCACCATCATTATAATCATCATCATTCATTCTCAACTCACCTATGTATCACCATCTGTCTGTGTTGACATCCCATAATGCACCTACAAGTAATGTGCACTAAACTAAGTGACGACGCTATAAAATACAGATCATCACCTTCATCATCATCAATACTAAACTCGCGCACTTATCGCCATCTGTCTGTGTTGACATTATCACCAAATCCCATCCCGTGCGTGCCCTGATTGTATTATTTCGGCATCTACGCTACCACACCATAATCAATTCTGTGCATCAGTCATCATCTGTCCACGCAATGTGTCTCGTCCGATTGCCCTTGCCTTGAAGGTAAGCGCATGAACAATTCTACAATGCCCACCATCTCACGTTAAATATCAGCACTGCTCACCCACTGACCTGCTCACACCAAACTCTGGCACTAGCCTACCTAATGCACCACTCTGTTGGCTCTTAACAGCTCTTAACTCAGAGCTGAGGAGGGGATAGATGTTATCGGCTACACATCTGGCAATACAATCCCTTCTTATGAATTGTAATTTTTCACGTGGACGCACTGTTTTGAACAATCCTAAAATGCTGCAGCAGCGCTTGCATCTTAAATGATGCAGCTGATGTATTTTATTTGATAAAAATGTGTAGAGTTGTATTTTTTATGCTTTTTTGGGTTGTTTTTGTCTCTTTATTTCAGAACGCTGGCACGGATCACAGTGTGTTCCCCTTGCCAGAGCCGCAGGATTTGTTCCAAGTCTCGCAGCTCAAGTTTGAAGATTTTCAAAAAGATCTGCGGAAATTGAGGAAAGATCTACAAGGTGTCTGCTTACATTTTCTAAATCAGTAACTTTGTACATGTGCATCCGTGTTTGTCAGCCCGCTTCTGGCTTAGGATCTCGCCAATGCCTTGCTGGTGATGGGGGATATTTGACCATACTTGACCACGTGCTGATCAATGCGGGTTTGTGAATGCAGACAGCATAGTCGTTCTAGGATAGTACAGTACAACAGTGGGTTTTTCTGCACCGGTCTGTGCTGACAACTTAACCCCACAGCGGCCTACACCACCTGGTCTATGCAAGGTGGTCACACATCCAAGGGCTATCCAGACTCGAACCTGCTTAGCTTCCCAGGTCTGCTCAGGTCAGGTGAATTCTGGGTGATTCTGTCATAAGCTGGCTCAGTAACCTTAAGTAGGTAAAAACATCTTTTGATCGGCAGTTGTGAGAGAAATTAAAAGAAAAAACATGTCTGACCGTGCACAGAGTGAAGTGTGATATCTACAATGTGTTTTCGTTTTTGAAGACACCAGAGAAAGCTGTAACGACGCTGCACGACAATGTAATCGAGCGGACGTGGTCGATGGATCGTGACCAAAGGAGAAATATCGACGCGGCAAACGATTCCCTGACTTTGCCACGGCACCCCGTTGACCTCGCGAGCGCCACATCGTGGCCGTGAGCTCCACGCGTTGCCGAAACGGCCAGGTTTGCATCGCGTCAGCAGTTTGCCGCATCGTCGGTTGACGGAGGGGTCCGTCGCGTTTTTGTCGAAACGCCGATGATGAAAAGGACCGTTTCGGGTTTTGAAGCGGCATCGGGACCTGCAAGTGGGGGGGGGGGGGGGGGGGGGGGGGATGCGGCCACACTATGGAAGTTGGGAGCTGTCCAACGCTGGAATGGTTGGTTCCTGGTGGCTATTGGGTAGATTATAGATGGCATCCCCAACAAGTGAATGGTTGGTTCATGATGGTTCTTGGGTAGATTATAGATAGGATCCCTAAAGTTCACCCCTCCCCCCTCCCCCCAACATCATCGCGGGTAAGAGGAGTCCTCTAACTACAATTACATTAAATCTATGCCACTACTGGCTACTGGCTCGGTACTAAGCCCGACTGTTTGCGTGCCCCGCTGTGTATTCAATGTTTCCATCATCGGCATAGAAATCAGCGATTATATCACTTTGTGGAAGAGAGAAAAAAGCCTGGACTCAATAATATACCGTGAATTTTTCCCCCCAAAATGTGCCTTTCAGCCATGTCAAAACATTTAGCGGGGTGCCCGGACCCCCACAATACTCACAGGTGGCTGTGCCCCTTTCCTTAAAAACAACATACAGACATGAAGTGCTTGCTTCAGAACCTTTTCGGTTGGAAAACAATGAAGGAGATAATGGTACCCCGACTGAAACGCCCTTCGTATATAATATGAACGCAAGCAGTCAAAGCTGTTGCTGCTTTTTCCTTGTCGAACATCTCCACTTGAGATCTCATCAAATCGAAATTTGTATAGGGCCTTGGCAGAGACACTTTTAAGGCGATTCTAAAATTGTCCATAAGACGACCAGTGAGACGACCAATGGGGTTATTGAAAGTGTCGGTGTAGTTTTCGTGACGGGAGAACAGGCGCGCGAGTGTCAAGGAGAGCAGTCGTGGTGGCGGTAGCCTGGTCGTAGCTGGCTGGGTAACGGAGAACCCGGGGAGGCTGGGAAAATGTTGAGGCATCGCATTGGGAAGACAAAGATGGTCAGTGGAGCGGGGGGGGGGGGGTTGGGGGTGGGGTGTGTTCGCCGGACGGGGATATGGACCTCACAATTGACGGACACTGCTGCCCCCTTTAGCGCGGTGCACGCGCCGTTACCGCAACGGTTGCGACGTGTACGGGTCGACGGCGCGAGAGGTTCTCGGTTACAAGGTGAATCTGGCGATCGATCGCTGTAGGTTGTAAAAATAATTTGTTTTCGGCAATAAATGGGATGAAAGAGAGAGCGGGCTGGGATTAGAGGAAACTTTAGCCCAGTGCAGAGGGGGTCCTTGGTTGTTGGACCCCAGGAAGCGGTGTCTGGCGCTGGCTGGTAATCAGCGCGTCTATAAAAACAATTTACAGCCGGTGATAAACGGGGAGACCCCAAGTGTAAAAGTGTCAGTGGGAGCCCCTGCTACCGTACTGCGTCACTTGAAGCACCCCCCCCCCCCAATAATGCACAGCTAATAATAAAAGAAAATTACAGACAGACCATGGTAATGAGGGTCAAAATACAAAATACGCTGCCGCCTTTTTCGCTTGGCGTTCTTGAACGTTCTGGTTCGACGTGTTCTCACCTGTGTGGGTGTGGGCGAGCGGTGGTGCAGCGGTTAGCGCCACGCTGCGCTACGAACCAGGCGAACCGAGTCAGATTCCCGCTCACGACCAACGCCAGTGACGATTATTTGAACCGTTCCTGGGCCTCCCCTAGGTCGACTCGGCCTCAAACTAGTTGCTGGTGCGGTGTGTAAACATCGCTACTAGGGAGACAAAGGCAGCCAAGCGGGGTATTGGCCCGTTCGTGTGCTCGTGAACAGCACTTGCCCCAAAAGTCTGTTACAGGCTATACGGGGGATCTTTGTCTTTGTTTTGACATGGAGGATATATTTCACACGCAGAGCTGTAAATTAAAGCTGGAACAATCTTGGGTAAACTGTAGTGATGGGTGACAACCATGGAAACTTGGCCTACAATGCTTCAAGGCCTTTTGTGCGCACCTTCATATGAATGCTGTAGTCGACCCAATGAACTCCATAAATCACTCTGCGCCTGATCTGGTTTGATCTCTGGAGCTAAGCACGCTTTGAACTTGGTATTTGAATGGGAGGCTTATGGGAATAGATGAATGTAGGCTTGGGTTATGTGGCCAATGGATTTTTTAAACTGTCTGTGGGGAACTTTGAGACCGTTACCTCCTCGTATGAATGGGGTTACTCCCATCTATTCTACTGTTGTTCCCACATGCCAAATACCCATTATTGGAATTGAACAAACATCCAAATTCACGACCCTTCTAAAAAGGTGTCCGTGGCACTCAGAGAGGCTTTCCTTGGTGCAAGGGCGCCACGGTGAAGAGATGTAAATTACCTCGCCTGGTATACAGGAGGTCGTGGGTTCGATCCCTACCCTGATTTTTGCTGTATATTTGGAGTTTGCATGTCTCTCTCCCCGTGGTCGCGTGAATGTTTCTCTGGGTCCTCCGGTTTCCCCTTCCATATTTAGAAACACGCGTTTAGAGTATTTCGCTGCTATCAATTTCCACGTGATAAGCCACATCGTTGAGCTACCATTGTTGGCCAGGTCTCTTCTGAAAAAGAACTATATACAGTAGCTCAGTGGGCCATACCTGGTCAAATAAACATACTTCTTATTACGCGAGTGTCGTAATTTAGAGTCTGCATTTTCCAGCACAAGCTGCATAAAAAAAAAAACATTTAAAAAAAACATAAACCCCCACACCCTATGGCCAAATTACCTAAAATTCATCCAATCATCTCCAAGCACTATTTCCAAGTTGAGCCTCGATCGTTGGCGATCAGCATGCATGCAAATGCATTTATAGGCTGCTGTTGCTGGGCGGAGGGGGGGTTACATTGTCACCAATGCAGCAAAATGAATTGTTGTACTGTAACATGCCCTCACGACTGTGTGTCCTCCCATCTTCACCGAACCGCACTGACCAGCGCGATGAAGAATTATTAAATAACCGCAATGGCCTGCGCGGAGTCGCTAGGCCCTAATCCAGCCGTGGATTGGCAAATGCGGGTATATATATGTTCCAAACTAAATAAAAACCCGCTTCAGTTCTTCCACTTTCTGCTTTTATTTTTGGAGGCCTTGGGACACCTGTTACTGACACCTATTGTTGTGAAATCGAGCACCGACTTCGCACCTCTCTTCACTCCTGGACCAAGGAAAGGTGCAGTAATGGGAAACAATGCAGGAGGCGTGAGACTGTGAAATAACAACGTATTGTTCTCTGCAGCGCGTAAACTGAGCAGACGATGACACGTTCAGGTGTCGTGGGTTGTTGTTTTGTCGTCCAGGAGAGAATTCGGTGAATGTATTGAATTGGGGTCGGTGGCGTGCAACGTGGCATTTTTGAATGTCTGCGAGCTTTTAAAGAAATCTCCGTGTGTGTGCGTGAGTGTTTGCCCGTTGAAAGGTGTCCGTGCTGGGTCACCCTGTGTTTTGCTTGCCGAATATTTTCCTTTTGCAAAATAAATCCGGGCCTCAAATGGTGTGAAAACAGGTCTGGAGAAAGGCTCAGATGATTATGTCAGCCAAGCGTGTTTTAAGTTTGTTACTTAACGTGGTACCACTTACGTAAATGTGGGTAATAACATCTGGTATGAAAACAAAAGTGCAACATTTTTTACACCAAGCAATATAATTTCATTGAAGAAATCCCCTGATGTTGGCACTTACTATTTAAACTTGTCAACAAATTTTAATTCCCAATGGCTCTATTATCTGCCGAGTTGCAATGCTTGTTAGATTAGTACACGTATGACAGTTCACCCTCAAAGTGATTTGATTAATTGTGAGGTCTCATATGTTCCGTTTTTCTTTTTAAAATTAATTCGCACTGCCTTGTTTGTGCAGTCTCGCTTTACCCCCCGTTTCCCATATCCTGTCTCGTTTGTATTGCCTGCCTTCTATGAGTTCCACCTTCCTCGTTTGCTCTGATCAGGCTCCGTGTAACAGAAGCTTCACATTCGCACGTGAACACGTGTAATTTTTCGCATCTATTACCAGCAAAAAAAAATCTACATCTGTGATTGCTCATTCAACGCGTCGTTACTCGCCATGCCAGTCTGTGACTTAAACCACCGGGCCCCTTTTCGCATCTCTCCCTTGCAGTGTGCGAGACTGAGATGGCGAAGGTTTGCCGACTTTCCAGCGAGGAAAACCTGGAGCCGTTCAAGTCCGAAATGGAAGAATTCATTGAGAAAGGTGCGCGGCCGCCGTAAGGCACGGATGACGGTGGCCGGTGGCCCATCCCGCGCTCGGAGTTTCGGATTCTCGTGCCACGTTCCCTGCGGTAGCTGCGAGGCGAGCCGGCCCGGATTTCCCACGTCGGCCGAACTGGGCCGAGGAGGCTCGCGCGCGAGGCCCGCTTGCTCGATTTTAGAAGCCTGCAAAGTAGGCCGGTAATTGGAGCTGCTCTCCGGAAGTAGTTATAATGCCATCGGATAATAATAATAATGTACTCTCTTAAAGCACCTTTTATGTGGAGGCTGCTAAGTGCCTTATTTAGCTGAAAAGATAAATTGCACTTGTGAAGAAAGAAAGAAAGAGACCCCAGTAAAAAATTAAATATCTGCATAAAATAGCGATGCATAGGCAAAATTACATATGGAGAGATTTTAGCTTTGGATAGTATGTGTTAACGCAAGCATCTATTAAACCTTATTATGAATTACTCATGCCCACCTCTGGGCGAAGGGAGAGGTAACGAGGGATGGAGGAGTCGGAAATCAGAATATGTCTTCATCCTGGACAAATCCGTTGAGCTATGAAGCTCTTTTTCACAGATGTCCAGTCCTGAGCCCATGGAGCCGTGCGAAAATTAAACGTTGAGGCAAGAAATGAACTCTGCCGGGCTATGACAAGAACGTTGAAGCGTTAGTCGGGTCTGGTTACCAATGGCCGTGGAAACGCAGCATGGTATCTTCGCTTAACCCTCTTAGAGTCTGCCAGCTCATTGGCTTTTAGCCCAGGCTCTTAGACCTTGGTTTAGTATGAAGGGCAGAGCAGGAAGGGAATTACACATCATCACACCCTTCCACTGGTTGGCCAGTGAATTGGCCTCCGATAAGTTAATGACTGTAGTTGATCTCACAGCCATAATGTGCAAGTGTAGGGTCACCGTGGCTGATTTTTAACCAAAGTGCGATTCTCAAATTGCAATAAAGTGTTCTTTGTTAGCACGCCAAATACCACTTAATTAATCTGCTCTTGATAATGAACACACTGCAAGCAAGAGCAATTGTAATTGTGAGCAATAATGGCCTCATTAAAATAGCAACAAAAGCGTTATCAATTACAGAAATATTAAATTGCTTCGTGTAGAAATTATTACGATAAAATGTTTGATTTGTGGATATGGAAAAGGTTCATGTGCAGTCCTGCAATTTATTTTTCACTCCACTGCTAGCAACAAGGCCTACAGAAGAGGGGGTCTAGAGGAGATATCGAGAGCCCCCTTGGAGGGAAGTTTGGCCTACTCTTCCACACTGAGCGAACATCTTGGAGGAAGTTGGAAATCCCCACACTTTACCCCCATGATATGCAACCTGATGATTATCTGTGGTGCATCCATTTGTAATCGTTGGGTGGACGGTGGCAGGGATATTTTGTTAAAACTAGACCGATTGTTTAATGCCACGGCAGTGTCCACCAGTCCACGTTTACTCTTACAACAACAAGAACGTTATGCCTGCAACGTGTTTTTATACAATTCGTGGCGACTGAAATAATATCTGTTCACATATGTGTAGGTCTTCAGTTGATGAAATGTATCTCTCCGCGGGTAGTCGCGGTGGCTGACGAAGTGAAGCCTCATCGTGTGCCCTCAGATCAGTAATCCCTAGGCCCTCCTCCAGTTGCAGTGGGCCGGTGCTGCCCGTAGGGTAGTGCTGAAACAATATATCGGGTGACTTGTTTACAAAAACAACCTATTAAATGCTTCACAGCGGGTTCCGTCAGTGCCACTCAAAATTGATTTTTTTTCAGCCGCATTGATCCAAAAAGCTTAGTAAGGTGAGCAGTTGATGTCGCGTAGAGATGAAGGCAGCTTGCGGAGGTAAAGAGCTCGCGTGTCAGAATATTGGTGTATCGCGTGTGCAGGAACGCATCGCCCCATTCGCAAAGCCGCTTTCAAAGCTTGCAAGGCTTTCTTGTAACGAGTGATTAATTCGCAACTCCAACTTCGATACTTTGTCAATCCTGATTGTTCATAATCTGCAGCGGAATGGCACAGCTGTGCGGTCAGTGGTGGCACAGTGGTTAGCCCACTGCGTGGTGAGCCTAGCCACTTGGGTTTGTTCCCCGGCCTTGACTAACATCGGTGGCGAGTGATCTATGAAGGAGCCCTGGGCACTGAACAGCATGGTGAAGTATGGTCAATAAATTCTAGATTTGAAGCTTTCGTGACTGCAAGGATTCATACTCTTAGTTTTTTCGGTAAAGTCACGTAGGTAAAAAATGAAATTAAAATTAATAATATTCTTTCATTTTTATTAATTTCATTTTTCACCTACGTGACTTTACCGAAAAAGCTAAGAGTATATGGTCAATCAACCGCCATGACCAACAACAGTGTGGTGGGTGGAGGCATTCATCCATGCATACACGGCGCTATAAATTCGAAATAAAAATTCTAGTAACATGACTGGAAGTGTGACATTTCAGTAATTGCCGTATCTTCCGTGGCATTTTCAGCGTAGTGACATAACGGGTACAATTGCTGATCTTAATTACAATTGAGAGCAACTTTCCGAAAAGTTTTCGAGTGTCGCCGATGTAATTGCTGGAACAACACGGCCTGACCCCCATCATCCGGCGTGCTGCGAGTGCGGCGCTGGAGCCGGCGACAGAGAGGAGGTGGACGTTGTAACAGTAGCGAAGAAACAACACGCGCGAGATGAAAGGTGGCCTCACAATTTGAGCGGGAGAGAGAGGGGCCAGCGAGTTGCCTGCCTGCCTGAGCGCGGGGAAAAGTCACGGCCTGAGACCAATGCATTAGTCACAAGGCGCCTGATGAAAGGCGCAGCGGAGCGAGAGGGCGGAGAGAAAGGGCAGAGGTCAGGGCGGCTACGGCCAGGCAGCGGCCTCCCTGCCTCACCCCTCCCCACCCCCCCCTGCTGTGTGCTGCTGCACCCTGCGGAGGCACCAAGTGACACATAGTTCATCCTGTCCGACTTCCCAACGGAATGGCAAACGCGTGAGAGAGTGGCGGAGGGGGGAAAAACTGAGACTTAAGCGGTCTTTTTCTTGCCGCCCAAGTGGGAGAGGTTTGTGTAGGGACACTATCCCTCTTTCTGGGGGCTTAACCCCTTAAAGACCCCGGCGATGTCACGCCGGCAGTTTTGCTTGCAAGCGTATTTGTTTGTCTAATGAGTTGCTTGTTTATTTTTTAACAAGAAAGAACTTATTTCACTGGAAAATTTCTACTGTTGCTTTTTTCTTCTTCTTCGTGTTATTCTTTTCCAGTTCAAATCGAGAAGTCGGGAGTGGTTGATGTCACCTTAAAACATGTCTTTGCATATATCCTGAAATTATTAAGACTTGGTTTGTTTTTTTTAAGGTGCAAAAGCTTGAACAGTCTAATGAATTAAGGTCAGGTAGCAAAAATGTTGCTTATAATTGGACGATTGCTTTGATTTCGTTTTGAATCGCCTGTAAGAAGGCCAGAATGTTTCCTACATTGAGCCTCAGCCAATTAAGCCTTCTGACAGTATACTGCGTTAACGTTGGAAACAATCTTTGAGATTTACTTCGCTAAAGTGCAATACATTTCTATTCAGTCTATTTAATAGTTCAAAATAGATTGATATTAATCAGAAATTATTCACTTAAAATGTGTAACGTAGGCCGGTGCCAGCAGAAAACATCGCGGTCCATAACGGCAGTGGCTTTTTGTAACAAGTGGACCGAGCAGATTTGTCTTCGCCCGGTTGTTTTTGGACGCAGCTTCTGTGAGCTTGGCCAGCAACAACATTCATCCCTGCGTCAGGCATCTCGGCTCGCCCGCGAGGACTTTTGAAGCCAATAAATATATACGCGTGGGGAAAAATAAACTCCCAACCTTTTACGGTGCCTAACCAAAAAAAAAAATGTTTAACGGTGTTGGCAGCAGTACAATTCCCCGCCTTTGCTAAATAGCAACAATTAGATCCATTCGCGCAACAATTATTGCAAACTACTTGTGTGCTTGTGCTTCCAAGATGTATACAACTGTGAGAAATCGAAAGGCCGTGTCGGTGCTCTAAATGTGCATGCCTGGTTTCCAAGTGTCACAATTTTAGGTCACAATTCTATTCAGGAATCCACTCTGTCTCAATTGTATGATCTTTAATTGCAATGTATTTGTTAATGTGTTCTCTCTTGTTCCGTTATTTTTTAAATGTAGCATACATAACAACAACAATTACTATTTAGATTTATCTTGCATCTAGATTCAACCGAATATCAATATGTTGTGTAACTTGCTTACCATTTGAATAATTAGTAAACGTTCACATTATTATGTCCATGATAGTTGTTGGTGATTTGCGTTAGTAAACACAACAAAAAATCTGTATTTAAACTTGTGTTTGTTACATGACTATTGCCAAACATTGCTTTGATGCATAAATGAATGATATAGTGTTTCACATTTTCAGTCTGCTGTGAGAAATGCCAATAGCAGACAACTTATTAACACAGTTATCGACAAAACAAGGCAACCTTGCGCTCAAGTAAATATGAATAGCCCCCCGCACATTTGTAATGCACCTATTGGTATTGTTGCTGGAATATATTGATTTCCAGAATTCAGCTTAGCTATTTCAGTTGGGGCAATAAACATTAATTGTAAAGAGTTCTCCTTGTGTTATGCGTGTCTGTATATTTTCAGCAAAAGTTGAACAAGATGCGGAGGAGAGGTTTCTGGAAGAATCGCACACAAGGTAAGCCCACAGGAACAGGATGAAAGACCAGGCATGATCTAACAAACTTTTTTTACGGCGCCAAAATAAATATTAAATCACTCGAAGCAAATGTTTTAACTTTCCAGAAAAATAAGCCTGCAGTGTTAATTATTTTATTTTTCGTAGCTTTTACTAAAAGTGGCATTTGATAGTTTTCTCGATTTATCTTTGTGCATGTTTAACTCTGACATTTAACGTTACAAGGCAATGCTCATGAGAACGATCGTACAGCACAATGACACATATCCGACTGTCCCTTGTACAATTGACTGCCCACACTCACTGTGTGGCATTGGCGGATACATTCATGCTTATCTATAAGTTCAAAAATCTGGCCCATTTCACATATCCACCTATATACAACAGCATTTACCTGCAAGTCGGATATGTGACGGTGTGTACTGTGTTTTATTATGTTGATGGAGGCGATTGTGTCAGTGATGATGATAACGATGATAATAATGATGATGATGATGTGCGTTTGCAATTGTTTATCGGGTCAGTTTTCTCGAGACGGCTCGCTTCTTTGGTATAAAGCCCCGGTCAGGAGAGAAGGAGGTCTCTCCAAATCATTTCTTTTCGCTGTGGCACGAGTTCTGCTCACACTTCAAGGACTGCTGGAAGAAAGACAGCAAGCTCATCGCTGCAGAGCTGTAAGATCCTGATATTTCTAGTACGCTATGGCACGGCGAGGCATGGCTAAACAATCATGCGGAGCTATGTGATATTTGTTAGCTTTTGCTTGTACTGTTGATATGATCCACTCTACTTTTATATAACATGCCCATCGGTCTGCTGAATTTCAAAGTAAGTTATTGCTTCAATAAGCATTGAAGTGTTGGTCATCTGCTGTTTTTACAGTCCTGAGCCAGTGGTGCATATTACACACTTGTATGGTGGTGGCAGGTTTTTTCACAGGGCAACCACAAATTGGTACTCGATTTAATGACCCCAGGAACGATGATGGGACCTCCAGAATGTGAGCCGCTTGCTCTACCGCTGAGCGAGCTGCTGCAATTAGCCAGTCCACTGCGCATGCATTCCCATCCCCTTTAATCACACTGGCTCTCGTGGTTCACTTTAAGTGTTACTATACCAAAGCGCTTCAATTTTAATAATAAACAGTGGTGTAAAATGTTCATTTTGTTTAGTTCACACGTGAGTTTTTAAGCGTTTCTTTACGGAACTAACTTGTAGGAAAAATAAAAAAAACAATTGCAGATATAAAATAATAGCGACGGCCGTTGCGATTGACGTAACATTGATTAAGTTACGTACGAGACGGTGAGCAATGCGCGTTGGAGCTTGGGGGTGAGGCAAGTATTCAGGGTGTGCTATGAACAACGGCACAAATTGCCACTGCAATGTCACCTTGTGCGCTTTTAGAGCTAACCATGTGCGCCATCGTAAGATTTACACTCCCCGTTGTTAATTCAGTGCCAGTCTTAGTCACATTACCGACTCCCGTCATCACATGGTGTAAATAAAAACCCCTACGCTGATGACTAATGCTTCTACCTAATGCTCATTAGGGGAGGCCTGGAAAATATATATGGCCATGCTGAGACACTCGGAGGCTTTCTGAAGTTCAGATACATGCGTGTCACGTGCTTGCCCATTTATGTATGTATGTATGTTGAACTTCTTTTGCACAGTACGTAGCCAACAGTAATAATCGAAGGTGCAGGGGAAAGACGAAAAACTCAACACAAAAAGCAATTCTAAATTAATTGGTTTTCATTCGAGATTTAAAATTACGTAGCTTCAGTGGCTTCCTAATGTCGGAAGGAAGAGCGTTCCAGACGGCCGCAGAAGCATATCTGAAAGTCGTAGGCTGACGATTTGCTAACCCTTTTACTGCTTGCCGACTTTCAGCACAAGTGTTGCATCCAAGACGTTGAATTTCTGTTGGGAAATGTTATAAAGCGATAATGATTTACTTGGAAAATCGGTGTAGAGGAAAAAGGTTTCAAGATAACCAGCCTACCACTTTAACCATCAGGAGGGTGGGCAAGTATGTGTAAAATAATGCACGGTCCAATACAAATTTGGGGAAATAAATTTGGAGTCGTTTTAAATTTCATATACATGTAAAATAAAAATCTGCCTGAAATACACAATTCTAGTGCTGTGGTTGCCTAAAAAGTTCCCCTACAAATTTGAAGAGGCAAACTCTCCGTTCGGGTTACCACGTTGCTGAAGAATCTTTCAATTTTTTCCACATTCGCCCAAATAAATAAAAGCAAATCCACACTGTATATCACTTAAAAAAATTCACACACACAAGCTGTCATAGGTTATAATTTACACTACATAAGTTTTAATGTATTAATTTTAGGTTTAATATGATGGAGGGAAATTTATTTTACTTTGCCTCTCCCGCATCATCTATTTATTTTCACTTGCTGCTCTATGAGGCGGTTGGCATGAGTGAGTTTTCCCTCGCTCGCTTGGCCTCTGCACGTTGGCTATTAGCGTGACTTTCAGTGGCACGCAAACCCAGGCGCACAGACCTTTCCGTACTTATTTGGCAACCACCCCCAAATAACATTGTAAGAACGAGATCATTGCCCTTTAATGCACTCTTGTGTGTTTAAAATATACGCTTTTTTATACAAATTATTGACAGCACATTGCAATCGTGGAAGAGTAGGCCAAATACCCTCAAGACTAATCCCTTTAATAGAGGCCCTTTTGTCAGCAGTGATGTGAGCAACAATTACAGGACTGCATCTTTGCCTAATTTACAGCCCTTGGTCAGTTCAATGTTGAAGGTCATTGGGGTTTGACTATACTTCGCCACACTAGTCAATGCGGATTGGCAAAGTAGCTGACCCCATTACCATTATCAGATCTCACTCGACACTGATGTTAGCCATTGATGAGATTCGTATTAAGGTTCTTAGTGCAGTGCGGTTACTGCTGCCCTAGCGCTCCAGACATTCCTATCACAATTAAAATATGGCTGACTTTTAAGATGACAAGAATACAACATGCCTGTGCATATACGCGTGGTTTTGTTTTTTTATTCTAGACTCAAACAAGCACAGCAGAATGTCCAGCAGAAGATGGAAGAAAAGAAGGCACCGACTACTGTCAAAAAGTCAACAGGACTGGTAAGGTCATACCAGCTGCTCACCCCAGCAATTGTGAACTTAACTGTACTAAAAAAAGTCTTATGAAATATTGCAAACACAAGTAAAAACACATTAAGGCAATGTCAAGAGCTTTAATGTATCATTGTATATGATGTGTAGTCGTGTGAATTTGTACAGTAGTCTCATCGGGTGACTGACAAATACTGACTAGCTTTTTGTTGCGATGTAACAGTTTTTAATTAATTGTATGAGAATGTGTTATGTTTAATGATTTGAATCACTTTGTTGGTCGTAAAAATTGTGATGCTCGGGTTTTTTGCAGCACGAATTTCTTTTGTAAATCATCCCAATGTGTCTAACACTGCACAATTCATTATTTTACCCAGCTATGCCTCAAATGTTTTACACAGTTTGTTAATAATGCAGAGCAGTGTTCAATGACAAGATTTAAGACTTTAAATGCGATACAATATTTTTAAAAATTTTCAAACTATGTTCCACTACTTTGTTGTCAAGTAAGTATTGGCAAGAACACTGTTCTGTGTCTCTACATTAGAATAAAATAATATTTTCGTCCATCAGTCCATTTGCGTTCCAGACCAATATTACCAAGCAGCATTTGTTTAACCAAACAAACTCTGGACTGGTTTCAACAATTCTGGGTCTCATCGGCAATAAAACTTGTAAATAAATGCTCTGGGATGTTCGCGGCAAGAACGCTCCGTATAAAAGAAATGGCTCGCACTCGACGCAAAAAGCAATCCTCTACACAAACCCATCATGTGCTGCTGTGGAGCACTTCTTATAAAATAGAGCTTCGTTACATGTTGAATTGTGGCGAGCACCTACTCGTCTGAGAAACAAAAATATATATTTGCTGACGCTACGTTGGCACTGGTGCAAATATTGATGCGTCAAAGTTGCGTACTCGTTATGTGTGATGATAGAAACGCCATTGCCTGAAACGTCACCTAGGATTGGTTTTTATTTATTACATTTTGAGGCCATAGTATTATTGACGAATGTGTCGAGTTTTGGTCTGTGACTTGTCTGAGACACGTGTCTACAATTGTATTTTTTTTTTCTTTGCAGAAAGCCAAACTACATCAGAAGGAGGCCAAACCCTAGTTCTCTGCAAACGTTGACCGACGTGGAAACTTCCAGTGTCAAGCCCCCTGCATATTCACCACGCACATTTTGTGGCCAATGGTATTTCACTGAAGTTTATAAGTGGGCCCTGAAGACGTCTGCAAGTCTACGTGATACCGTTTACCGCATCGTTGTTTACAAAGGTATAGCAGGAAGGACATAAACTGGTGGCACTATACGGTGGTTTGCCATCACTGTGTCACCCCCGTGTGTGTGTGTGTGCATTCGAACATTCCAAATTGTAATGCCACACATCCGCCAGTGTTGCAGTCATATGATGAAAGCTGGAGTGATTGCAAAAATATATCAAATATCGCCGAGAGAATGGAAAAATGCATCTTGTGCAGTGGATGAAATCGAGGTGGATGCACTTTTTGTTGCCACCTTAACTCGAAGAGAATGATTATCCAGCTTAGGATTCCCAAAAAAATAGAAATCAAGAAAAGCAATAGTTTGCACATTGTAAATAATTGTACATAATTTACACCTACAATAGCAATGTATAGGTGAAGTAGTTGTCTCTCAAATTTGAATGTATCAAATGTGTACTTGCAATTTTATTTCTTTGCCCCAATGTGTGTATGTGTACGTGCCGTTATAGCATAGCTTGCCATATTTTATCAAACATTGGCCTTTTTGCGTGCATAATTGCCATTTATGAACTCTGCAGTATTTTTGTTTTTAAGTCGACATTGTACACTTACCCTACTGAACTACTCTCGCAGCTATCTGGAAATTTGAGAAATAAATGAGTGACTTGACCATATTTTTTTCACCATGCTGGTCAGTGGGAGTTGCTGAAGTTGGTGTCCAGGTGCAGCTCAGATACAAATCGCCACCGATGTTAGCAGCGGCCAGGAATCTTAACTCGGGTAGCCAGGGTTCAAGTTGCAGTGTGCATCCTCCGCTTCACTCCCAAATTAGAATAAGGTGGTTAAATGATGTACTTTAAACTGTCGACAGCAAGAAAATAAAATGGGGAGTGGGCACGACACATGGCGAGAGATGGCCGATAGTCGAGGATTGTGACGCGTCTGAGAGCACGGACGACCATTGTGGATATGGAGCGGTGAAATCGGCTCCTGTGTATTAGGTGAGAGCTGGCGATGGCTAGAGGGGAGGCCTTCATCCAGCAGTGGATCGCTCGTTGCTGCTCGTGGTTAATGATACCTTGAAGCAAACTGCTCATGTGCCCTTTATCCAGGCCGAAGCCCTTTAATCGCCACGTGCCAACAAGCGTACGCATCACATGCACATCTTGAAATCTTAATCAAGATAAACTGTAGTTCAAGATTTATTTTTATTAAAAGACAACACATCATTTTAAAAGCCTCATTTTTCCCACGTATCTTTTATTTATTTCACAAAAAGGACTGCAATGCACAAATAAGCAAGTATGATTATAGTTTACAAATAAAAAAATATATTTCCAAGCATTTTTATGACAATATTTAACAAAAAAATATTCAAAGTAATTCTCAATGTTGGGTCCAAATTCCTCAAGTTTGGCTCTTTTATTGAAGATAGTGAAACTGGGCAGAATGCTACAGTTTATATATAAAAAAATGAAACCCAGGCGAAATCTTCTCACGTCATTGTAAAGAACATCAGCTTTGTAAATCTCGGAGGCTATCTTTACAACTATGCACATCATTACGAGCGTCTCTTTATGACCAACAGTATTTTATGTATCCAGTTACCTGAACGTGTAATGCCGTAAAAACGATTTTAAATCCAATTTTAAATATTCATGTGGTGTAATAATCTCTAAAGTGCTGTTGCACTGTACGCTTAGAATGATTTAGCTTTTCATGCAAGGCATCGCCTTTGCGAGGGCTGCAGAAACCTGGGCCAGATATTTTTCCCCCAGGTTTAAATTAATGAACTGAACCCAATTGCCATATGAAGACTATATACTCATAATATGCAATGCACATTGCTTAACACACAATAGGCTTTTCTTATTCTTCTTAATAATAATAATATACTTTTTCATATCTACCGCGCAAAATCAAATGTGTCCGATAATGGCACAATTAAAGCAATTTCTATTGTGACGTATTAAAATATTATTGCTTTCCCTCCCCCACACCCCCCCAGTATTTTTCAGCAAAAGTTGGGGGTGCTTAATGTTCTGGAGAATAGGTTAGTTCTACATGAAATAACATCTTGAAATTGCATGAACTTGTTTTTATTAAAGTTCACTGTTGTGTTCGGTAAAGCACGGAAAATAGCCAATGTCACATTTTTGCTTTAAAAAAATCTGAACATTTGAGTTACTTATTGATTTTGCAAAAAACCTTGGGTTATATTGTGATTGAGAACCACCTCTGTGACAGACGTACAGAAACACACACCATAGGGAACCTCGGAAACAATAATTCAACCTCTTTCGTATCAGTTTTAAGCATTTGACACACAACACACTAAGACCCCTTGGCTTGAAAAACGTCTCGAACGCTACCCATCGGATGGAAACCAATCGGAAATTATGAATTCCTGGAGGGGTATTCAACGGCAGTCGTGTTGAGTGGAGTTGATCGCACGGAGCTGAAGTGGTTCAAGGAAGGGATCACTCCCAAGAGGGTCGTGTTTATTATTCCAACCGCGTGCCCCTCTTTGATGCGCTATTGATCCGATATTTTCCAGGTTTAAGTGTTTTAATTGTAGCAACATACTTAAAAAAAAACCCCAGGAGTAGGCTAGATAAATAGCCGAGGCTTGTTCATTGTTTACACGCGGCCGTCGGTAATTCTTCCACCGTGCACGCGCGGGCATTTCTCTTTTTTATTACTCCAGACAACAACAACAATTGGGGCGCCATGGTGATGAGATGTTAACTACCTCGCCTGGTATACAGCATGTCGTGGGTTTGATTCCGACTGTGACATTTCCTCGGGTTCTCCAGTTATTCCCTCCACATTTAGAATCGACGCGTGTTTAGGGTATTTGGCTGCATTAAATTGCCCACGTGATAAGCCACTTCGTTTAGCTGTCATTTGTGGCCAGTTCTGAAAACGAGCTATAGCTCAGTGGGCATTACCTGGTAAAATAAAAATAAAAACTTTAAGTTTTAACTGGGTGACTTTCACCTGAACATAAAGCAATTTTGGAACATCAATAAACATACAGCCGAAACTAGTGTTCGTTTAGTCAGACTTTTTAATTATAATCTTAGCCTCGTCGACTAAGGTGGGTAGGCAGTCAAATGTAGTATATTCCTCAGTTGCTAAATGTTGGTGTAAAGGGGCAAGCAATCTGACCCCCTTCCCTTAATACTATCAGCTGAGCCAATCGGTGAACTGGGTAACATCTTGTATATACATCTAAGGTATAGAAAATTACTTACTTTGATCTTCCTCGGTTCACTGCTGTCTCTAAGAACTTAACTAAATTACCTTAGACTGCATTTTCATTCAGACTTCGTTAAGATTCCCGTAATAATCTCGGTGGGCAGTCGCAGTCATTTTCATCCACTCACAGCCATAATTGCCTGAAATAAAAACAGCTGAATATTTTTAAGAAAACGTAACACTGGCCATTTCACTGCCCGACAACCACGAAAGTCCATCGTCGCCTTCTCCCGGCGTCTCTTGCAAGCAAGACCGGGCCGAGCGGCGGCAAAAGCGAAACGCAACGGAGCTCAGTCTCCGACGCTTACGGACATGCAGCGGCACCGCTTGATGCGCGGCACCAGCTTGCGCGTCACGGCGGGCTGGCGGCCCGGGCAGTCCAGCGCCACTGCGAGCGTGCCGACCTGCTGCGGCTTGCAGAAGGCGCACGACTGGAAGGCGTGCGCGCCGAGGGGGCCTGCCGCGCCCCGCGGGATGTAGAACGAGTTGCACTGGCCGTAGCAGAAGCGGTTGATGACCGTGCGGCTGTTGCAGCCCTCCTCGCTCACGGTCTGCCGCAGCGGCTGCGTCTTGCACCAGTCGCTCTTCAGGTAGCGGCGCTCCGTTACCACGAGGGCGTCCTGGCTGGAGGCCAGCACCTCGTCCTTGGGCGCTCGTCCCGCCGAGCTGTTGGGACGCTCTTTGCGCGGCGAGGGCAGGTCCCCCGGGGGTCTGGCCGCAGCCGCCACCGCCGCTTGCCGCTTGGGGCCCTGGGTCAGCGACTGCGCACAGCACAGCGACAGCAGCAGGATGGTGGCGACGTGCAGGAAAAGGCCCGTTCTGCCTCTGTGCCTGCAGGCCACCTGCTTGCACACGAGATCAAACGCATAAGTGGCATTATCTCACAACCCCATGGAATGGTAAATAATAATTCACAGCCCTTTGTGAATAATTGACCACTGCACTTCATCTTTTTACAGCATTTATGCACTTTATATTTTCAATTATTTACTGCATTTGCAAAAATTCATTAAGAGGAAATGTATCTATTTTTTACACATTATATTCAATTCAACGCGATAAAATGCTCGGAGAAGATGCTGCACTGCAATTTGTTGCTCACAACCACCGCTGGTGGGAACGCCTCCACTCGAGGGGTGGGGGTTTCGGGAGAGTCATTTTGAAAGGAATCTGGCCTACTCTTCCACTGGCCAGTTTGTCCTGGAAGAGGTGGGGATATCCACACACATTGCCAAACAACATACACCATGTCTGTTGACCGTGGTGCACCCATTGTATACAAGTCTGAGTTATAACAAAACAATGTGGAGCACTTTTCTAGATGGTAGGCCCCTGGACAGTGCTGGTTATTCAAAGAGTGACCAGGGCCAGTTCAGATACCACTTGCCACCGATGTCATTGCAAAACAGGTTGGACTGTTTAGAGCGACTAGATACAACTGAATTTAAACACGCTGTTTATAAACAGCAGGATATTGTTTTCTTCTGGAAGCATATTGAGATACATTCTCTTTCGCAAGAAAAATGCAGAAGCCTTTTGCAAGTACCCACGCCTGCATGATTAAACAGTTGCAGGTACATTTCAAACTGGGATCTTGAGTATGAAGTGAGCATACAAGACTTACAAATGCAAATTATTTAACTAATACACTCAAGTTATACATTCAGCAGTACATGCAAAAAGTGAAATTTGAGCGTTTCACAGCTGGGTCGACCGATCTGACGCCCGTGTATTTTGAGTTTGCGTGTCTCTTTCCCCGTGGTCGCGTGGATTTTTTGTCCGGGTTCTCCACTTTCTCCCTCCACATTTGCAATCGTGCGTGAACAGTATTTGGCTGCCATAAATGTCCACGTGATAGGCCACTTTGTTGGGCTATCATTTGTGGCCAGGTCACTTCTGAAAAATTAACCCGTAAAAACAAAGTTTTTCACTATAAATCCTTTATATGCGTGGCGGCTAGAGTCCTCTCGTCCTTTGGCTTGAGATGGCTGCCACCTATGGGTCAGATGATTGCCTGGCAGCATTAAGCAATTGGTAATTAAATATATAAAAAAAATCCTAAAAAGTGTAAAATTTTGCAAAAATTTTTTCACGGAAATTAATTGTCTCGCACAACGAGTCTGTGTGGAAAATGTCAGCTCGATTGGATCACGGGAAGTGGGTTAAAAAACGACCGAAAGATTTGCACGGTCGTAAGCGCGCAAGCAAGCGAGCGAACTTAATATAAAGGATTTAAATAAAAAACGACCGAAAGATTTGCACGGTCGTAAGAGCGCAAGCAAGCAAGCAAGCGAACTTAATATAAAGGATTTAAAAAAGAGCTATACAGCTCAGTGGACCTTAACTGGTAAAAATAAAAAATTGTCGTAAAATACGCATTACTTCTCGAGAAATGCATGGGCTTTACACCTATAACACGAACCATACATGTGTTATTTATTGTGGCTACTGTCCCCACAGATGTTAATTCAAGCATTGACCATATTTTCATCCGATCACAGGCGTCAGGGTCAAGTGAGTTTAGTTTTATATGCGCTGTTTATGGGTGCGGTATATGGCTACCGCTTAAACGTTCATGGTTAGTGTTTGGACATCAGGGGTTAGGGCTTAAGCTTAGGTGTTTCTAGTTACGTTAAGCGGTTGAGAGATTATGGTTGAGTAGTTATCGTTTGCTGTTATGGACAATAGTACCCACAAATTTTGTCCGTATGAATCTGTGGGCCAAGTAGTCTGGCAAATTGTAATTACGACTGCAAGCACCTCAGATGAGAGCGGTCCTATTGAATGTCCCGATAAGAAATCACGGAGGTCACAACCATCCCCTATATTATTACTGTTAACGCTGCACTGAAACCTGCGGCCAATGTTCCATTTAACTTGTCACATTAGACGCGCCCTTTAGGTCCTCATTGATTCGAACCTGTTAATCTGTCACTGATAGGGCACACACATCAAGCTTGTGTATTAAATGAGCTATCACGTTTCCGCTGCAGTGACATACGGAAAATTACTTTTTTTGCGATACTGGGTCCGCAAATAATAAAATAACACATTCTTCAATAACACTGCCTTAGAGATAGAGAAAAAAACACATAATACGTGACGTTTCGGGCAATGTCCCTTCGTAACAAAGGGCAGTGTTATTGACAAATGCGTTCAGTTTTCGTGACATGATAGATTGAATGACCCCACAGGAATGTTTAAAGCGTGAATAGCGTCCGTTAATATCGGTGACTGTTCTAAAAAAAACCCACGATTCTTATAAATGAACATGTTAGTTAATGTCCATTGAATACCAACACGCATGTTTAGCCACACGCCAGTGTTGTGGTATTTTAAAGCTGGAAGGTGTCACGGGCAGGTTGTCGTCTTGTCGGTGTTTGGCCCAATTCCCACCATCGCTAAATGTGACCGTCTCACGTAGCCCAGATTCATTGGGTCGTGGCAACAGTTACCGCGATGGCTATCGCATGCGGCGGGGGAACGCACCCAGAGGAGAATTGGGCGTCCCAAACAACCCATTTGTCTGTGCTGTTAAGTAGAACTTCTTTGGGCACCGTGCCTAGTGGCCAACCGTGCTTCTCGGAGGTTCGGAGGATAAACTTAACACAAGCAAGCGGTTCGAAAGACGTGGGGGTTTCACTCGAGATTTAAAAGCGCATAAGCTGCAGTGACGACCTTGGCTAACCCACAGCACGTTGGACAAAAATGCTCCTGTTTGAGTTACACAACAAGGTGATAAATATGCTTGGTTCTTTCGGTAAAGTCACGTAGAAGGGAAATAATAAAAATATAAAAAATAAAATTCTCACGACGTTTCGACTGCAACACAAGCAATCATCATCATCAGGTGTGAAATCCACAACAAGAAACGTCGTAAGAATTTTATTGTTTTATATTTTTATTATTCTATTATTTCCCTTCCACGTGACTTTACCGAAAGAACCAAGAACATGAATCCCTGCAGTCACGAAAGCTTTAAATCAAGGTGATAAATGCCAATTATGTTGACAACGGAGTCTTAAAAAAAAAATACACAGTAGCCAACAAAACCCCAGCACTGAGCTCAAGCAAGCAGCAAGCAGCGTTGCATTTCATGTTAACCACAGTACCCGGTCTGTCATCGATCACCTGACAGGGTCCAGCCGATCACGCGAAGTTGCTCGCCCACGAGCAACAAACGCGTGGCCCCCGCATGTGCTTTGAGCGCCGCGTGCGCTTTAAATCGGAGCTCCGACGTAAGCTGGTTACCTGATGCGTCGACCGCGATGTCGTCCCTGCCGGAGGAGGCCTCGTGGCGCCCGTGACAACGACGAGAGGCATCGCGACGGGAGGGCGAGACGTCAGTTGCGTAACCCGTGCGCTCGGTTTTTTGCACTGAGCAATATTCCATGAGAGTCGTTGATTAGAGCCACGCGACGCCGCCTCTCGCCCTACCCTCTGTTGTTCAACCCCCATCTCCCCCCTTTAAGAGTCCTTGAAGCTCGTGAAGTTAGGGCGGGCGGGCGGGCGGGGGTGGTACGAGCCCAAGTCGCTCTTTATACTCCGCACATTTCCGTGCCACGAGCACGCGTGGGGTCGTCAGGGGTTGCCGGCGATTGGCTGTGGCGAAATATCAAATCGAGTTTAATTCTTCAAAAAGTTTCACCAACCTCCACCCCACCCACCCACCCATCATCCTCAGGGCAGCAATTCAAAGGCTCAATTGTCAAACATGTAAATAAAAGCAGTACGCGTGTTGAACATTGTACAGTCATAAATGCCACGTGCTCCTTCAAAATCTACATCAGCCATGTTCGTTCCACTGCTGGGACCTGCGCACGTGCTAATTTCATCATCCCCAACTTCCGGGATTGTTGGAAGTCTTGAAAGTTGTTTCGATTCTTGCCAGCTTTACATTTCTTGGTCGGTAATCCGTCACTATTATTGACTATCGGCCATCATCAACTCTTCTTACGACGTGCCCTGACCCAATTCCACTTTTTCAATCGATGTTCCAAATGTTCCTTCTCAAATGGGTTCATTGCGTGCAAAGTAATTGCGCAAATATTTGGAGCGTGCTTTATGAAAAGTAATGCCATAGGAGCTAAACTGGAAATATTTTAATGCTATACGTGGGTATGGCAAATTGCTAAATTGACCGCATAGCACAATGTAATTACTTTTTTTACGAAAGAATAATTACGGTTTAACATTTTGTTGAAGGTCTGATGTGGGATAAAAAAAATCCTGACATTTAGACAACTATATTTGGACAGGTTTTGTAAGTACTGTATATTTCTATGCACTTTAATGTGCAATTAAATTTCAAACGGACAATTTCTTGAAAAATGACTGGATAGCTTATAAGTTTAATGAAAATCGTATTCTCAGGATTATAAGACGATCCGTAAAATAAGATGCACCCCAAACTTGTACCCAGTGTCAATAAAGTTATAATCTGGTAAAACAAACACCCACAATGCTGATTTAACATATGGGAAAAATGCATCTTATAATCCGGAAAAACACGGCCATAATTAGCTTTTACTTAGAACAACAAAATAGAGTAATAATTAAAAACATCTCTATTTCAAGTCGGGCCTGGCAAGATGGTAACGATATATCAGTTGCACATAAAGTTTACATTTTTAAAAAGAAGGAAACTAATGTATCATTCGTGTGTCATTTGGACATAGCTAAGATAAATAAACTGCATGCGAACATAAATCTAAAAGCCAAATAAAATAAAAATACATGAGAAAATGTCGTATAAATGTTCTTACAATCTGGAAAAGACCTTTTGTGAAAAAATCCTTTCATGTGACAACATTTTTACCATCCCTGTATTCATTTAAGTGTTCTTTATTGAATGACTAGCTATTTGTTGAAAAAAAATTGGCAAATGCACATACGTAGAAATTAACACGCACGGACATGGAGGGCTACATTATGATAAAGTCGGTGTGTGATGGCCAAATATGGTTATCCTGGGCGTATGCTTGTCCGTAAAAATAATTACTGGACATCTGTAGGAATAGAGCTTTACAACTCATCGGATTCCTCCAGTATAAATACATATTGTGATTCTGGTCGACATCGTGCTCGATTCCGTGCTCAAATCTATAACACCTTTCCAGAGTGGTTGACCTCATGCTCAACCACGAGTTACACTGGATCCATGACCACGGGTTACAGCATGGGATCGACCATGGGTACAAGATGTTGCGGGTTTGAGTGTGATCGAGCATGGAATAGGAATTAAAGATCATCACATTTTGGAGAAATTAAAAAAATAAAAGTTCAGAAGGAAAGAAGCGATGGCGAGGTGTGATCATATCAATGGGCCAGAGGTCGTGGTCGCATCTTCATTGCCACTTGCAGTGTCTCCTCAGTGACCGCAAGGACTCAGTGTTGCCGCACGTCTCTGAACAAATACGTACAGCGGAGGAGAAAGTTGAAGGGCGGGTTCCTGACATCCGTTCGCCACCTTGTGGCTGAGTTATTGGTCGTCTGGGAAGGTGGCTTTTCAGGATTTTCTGGCCACGATCATTGACCACGGCAATATCATCATTGCCTGCTTCTCGGCTTTTAGCGTCACACTCTACGGAAGGTGAAAAATTACTTCCTTAATTGATGATAGGGACAGTAGATTGGGAAGCGTTTAGCACGAGACTTAAAACAAGATTGGTCTCTCGGCTCACCGTTGCGTGTAGGAGTGTAAATCGTTACATCCCTACTTATAAATATTGTGTACATGCTTAAGGGCCATATTGGCCGAAACGTCCGCCGATGATACATATTGTAATTTTACAGGCGGTGTCGTTGACAAGTGTTTTGAGTTTTTGTTAGTTGTAAACATGACCTCGGCCATACCAAACGTCAGCCTTCGCTGGGACTTTGAGAACATGAATCGAATGGACATCATACACGATGCATTTATTTCGATTTAAAGCTTTCGTGACTGCAGGGATTCATCTTCTTGGTTCTTTCGGTAAAGTCACGTAGAAGGGAAGTAATAAAATAATAAAAGTAAAACATAATAAAATAATTCTCACGACGTTTCGGCCACAACACAAGTAGCCGTCCTCAGGTGAAGACAGGTCTGTCGAGGCGACAGCGTCTAAAAGACAGTGGCCGAAACGTCGTGAGAATTATTTTATTATGTTTTATTTTTATTATTTTATTACTTCCCTTCTACGTGACTTTACCGAAAGAACCAAGAAGATGCATTTATTGTCGAGGATTTGGCAGCTATACATTTCCACGTGATAAGCCACTTTGTTGAGCTTTCATTTGAGGCTAGGTCGCTTCTGAAAAATAAGCTGCATAGCTCGGAGTGCTTTAACTGGTAAAACCACACCTGATGATGATTGCTTGTGTTGCAATCGAAACGTCGTGAGAATTGTATTGTTTTTTTGTTATTATTTTATTATTTCCCTTCTACGTGACTTTACCGAAAATAACCAAGGATATGAATCTCTGCAGTCACGAAAGCTTTAAATCGAAATACAATAAATCGTTTAGTTTTTTGTATAATTTTAAGTGATGTGTTTACCTTTCCTATACTTTGCACTCCAATCGTGTTGTTTGTATTGTTTGTTGTAACGTTCTGACCCGCCTCTACTGGACATCTGTGAAAAAAAGAGCTTTATCGCTCAACGGATTCCTCCAATATGAATAAATATTCTGATTATTTTTTATTCCATATATTGAATACACACAGGTGGTTAACAGTTGGGATCCTTCGATATGCAAATAAAGCACGTCCACAGTAAGTCTCCTGCCTGATGCTGTGTTTCACTTTTCAACAGCTGAGGCTCTGTCTGGCTTGGGTTCTCCAGTAAATAATGATCTAATGTCGAGGTCATATCAGCTCGCCATCATGTCGTCAATTGCCCCAGCAAACGTGTCGCAAACAACACATTTGATCGGCAATTATATACTTATTTGGAACCTGAATGTGCCTTTGATAATTCCATCGATAATTCCATCATTATTTAGCCCAGGCACCAAATGTGAAATGTCAAGTGACCTTCATCACGATACGATGTTTTTAAATCCTTTATATTAAGTTCACTTGCTTGCTTGCTTGCGCGCTTACGACCGTGCAAATCTTTCGGTCGTTTTTTAACCCACTTCCCGTGATCCAATCGAGCTGACATTTTTCACACAGACTCATTGTGCGTGACAATTTATTTTCGTGAAAAAAAATCCAAAATTTTACACTTTTTAGGAATTTATTTTTAATTTTTAATTACCAATTGCTTAATGGTGGCAGGCAATCATCTGACCCATAGGTGGCAGCCATCTCAAGCCAGAGGACGAGAGGACTCTAGCCGCCACGCATATAAAGGATTTATAGTGAAAAACTTTGTTTTAACGGGTTAATTTTTTCTTCTTTGTCAACCAACTCCAGCCATGAACTCCATCGTCGGAAGTTCGTGGAGAACCAAGCCAAGTAAAAGCACGACCCTCTGGCGCTCTCTGCCCGCGTGTCTCTCGCGGAGATTCAAATTTAACACCGCAGTCAGTAACACACTTGGACGGAATTAAATGTATAATAGCTTCGAACAATAGACCTTAAATCCAATTATGGGATATTGCTGTAGAACGACTGGTCGTGTTGCGTGCTTTATTCAGAGAGCTGCAAAGGGTCCTTTGTGTTTTTGCAATCACGTTGTGAGCAGTATGGTAAATTAGCAAGCAATTTGTCGCGGCATTTTGCCCGTTTATCCGCTTAAGCGCCACGGGAGGCGAATTACTTGATTCGCTGATGATAGGGATGGTGAGAGCCGTGAAGGTTAAAACCATGTTCAGTATAGCTAATGTGGAATGTCAGGCTTGAGCCGGTTGTCCGAGTGAGACCAAGCAACTTCCAGGCCGAAGCTCTTGCTTCTCAGATTCCTGGGTCTTCCGTTAAAGTCACGGAGATAGACGTAGCTTCTCGGAGTTGTGTAGTTATTAACATAGCGTCGACTATAGAATGTATACCATTTCAGGTTGCTCGTCTTTCTAGAACATTATAAGATTTTACATAAGCTAGTCAGTCGCGATTGTCTATGAGTTAAATAAACGTTTTGTGTTCATGGTGTAACACGTTTCCAAAATGTTCACTTATCCAACCCTGTTCCACTATTATCCGACACTCACACACACTAAAATATTCTGAATCTCTCGTGCAATAATTTTCTGAAGTATGCCCAGATTGTTTATGTTCACGATGTAACTAATTTTCAATATAACACGAAGTCGTCTTTTGCGACCAATAGCATGCATAATACAGCTGTTTTGGGGTTAGATCGCGTAACACACGGGTGTGCTGTACTGGTAACGAATTGACCACGTTCTATCTACGTGACAAACCTTTTCTAATTGGCTGTGTCGGGTGGTGGCGGGTTTAACGACACATTTATATATTTACGCGATCTAACCCAACAAACCTGTCTGATGGATAGTTTTCAATACGTCCACTTATCCCAACGCTGTTCACTTATCCGACGCGGGTCACCCACTAAATGAGTCTGAATCTCTCTTAAGCGCTCTGCTTAAGAAATTCCCCCTTAAGGGCCACCCATTGAGTAGGTACGCACAAATCTGTCAAAACTTGACCCCTCCCCCCTCCATCATCTTCATGTACGCACTCGGACTTTTTCCCCCCCCCCCCCCCACCTACGTACGCCTGACGCACGCCCCCCCCCCGAATCCTATAGAACGGCCGATATTTAATCCACGCAGAAACGATCAAGGATTAATAATATTAACGTGTTTACGCAAACAGACAGTCCACCACCGGACTATCTGACTCATTTGAAGGCCAATGTAGACAAATCATTATCGAGGCTTGACACCCCAGCCCCAGTTTCCTATGTGAACAATGTCAGTAGACCCCCCCCCCAAACGCAAGCGGTACGCATTTGGGTTACCCCCCCTCCTCCCTCCATGCGTATGTGCTAAATGGATGACCCCTCAAGCTGGATGATTGCTTGCTCGGTATTGGACGCATGGGGAGTTATCGGGCATCGATCAGCCACGGGTCTTTGTCACGACTTTCGCACGCCGCGTGTATCTCACGGAGCTGTTGAGCCCCACGTGGACGGCACGCTTGATCTTCTTAGTTCTTTCGGTAAAGTCACGTAGAAGGGAAGTAATAAAATAATAAAAATTATATTATTTTATTTTATTATGTTTTATTTTTATTATTTTATTACTTCCCTTCTACGTGACTTTACCGAAAGAACTAAGAAGATGAATCCCTGCAGTCACGAAAGCTTTAAATCGGCACGCTTGATGTTTGCCGCTATGCGTGCGAAGGAGAACGACCCTGTTAAGAGTTCTGTGACATGCCAAAATGCCTAATGCATAGCGGGCAAACTCAACACGTTTCTATTAATTGGAGTCCAACTGGAATTCCTTCTCTTGCGGTTGCCAGGGTAAAACATTAACACGGCTTCACATTAAATTTCTATTTAAAACTTTCGTGACTGCAGGGATTCATCTTCTTGGTTCTTTCGGTAAAGTGACTTTACCGAAAGAACCAAGAAGACGGCGTCACATTGTTATAGGATGTAGACTATGCCACCTTGTAGAGAGTACACAATATTCTATTGTGTATTTGAATAGTATGCACGTACAGCGGTGGTCCATCAATAGAAACCCCGCTGTTGTTCGCTAAATGAACGCTAACATTGTACGATGGGAAGCGACGACTTAATATATCTTACAGATGAGAGTGTTTCTCGAGTCAATTCGTCTCTGGAGATTGGCGGGAGACGTGGCCGAGGCGTCGTGATACAACTCTGGCTGCTGTATAAACCCACAATCCTTGTGACTTTAGTGGCGTATCGATAATTGGATCGCAGCGCCGTTGTATCCATTCGCGTGAATTTCCGTTGCCGCTTGTCGGCACGTAGATTTTGCGTTCCCGTTCGAGCAAATTATTTCGATGCTGCTTTGGCGGTGGTGCAACAAGGCCAATTCGTGAAGAATGCCCATTGCTTGGAACCTATTTTTAATTGAGAAGGCAGTGTTGGGGGTGGGTGGGTGTGTGTGTGGGGGTGTTAATTATGTTAAGTCATCTCGGTCATCTCGGTCAGTCGACCCGTGGCACCTGCTGGGTCTGCCCCGTGACCTCCTGCCAGCGGGCCTTCGACACTTCACGTGGCAGCCTCAAGGTGCACGTGGCCTGGCACAAGCGTCGTGGTTGACGTCACCGCCACTTAGTGGCGAATGGCGGTTGTTGTTGTTAATTCTGTGATACTGGGCAAAGCCGCTGGATGGCATGTGTGTCAAGTGAATTCGAAACGCGTTCGCAGCTGCGTGGAGGCGAGAAAACAACGTGTGGAGGAGCGGCGTCATTAAGTGAACAGGGCCCGATGAGTGAACGCAAAAAAGAGGTTCAAACAATTGGGAAATGCGTTACATGTGACTGTGTACAAGATTCAGGATGCTTTCGTGTGTGTGTGTGTGGCGAGTTCGATGAGTGTGTTAGTTTTAAGGACTGATTTTCTTGGTTTGGACTGCAGCGAAGATCAAGCAAGCTCAAAACTGTGCTGTGGAATTTAATTACGGGATTTCAGTTGCTAAATTCACAAGAGCATCCATATATTTTACCAAACATTTGTAAAGTACTGGATATCATAATAAATGTTTCATATCGCAGTCACTGCATAATTATAGCATTTGCGATGGTTCTGATATTTTTGCCACCCATGTCTTATAATGCCATTCCTTCTCATATAGTTCAGGTGGCTTATTTAATTATTTCAGCTTTCACAGCCTTGGGCATTCTCACTTAATCCCAAGAAACCATTCCTATGTGGAAGGCTTACATAGGCTTAGTGTGCAGGTTTATTCCACCCGTCTGAGGTCACGTAAATTCGTTTGGGTTTTTCCAAAGCATATCAGTGGCTCATATTATTGGTTCTTTCGGTAAAGTCACGTAGAAGGGAAATAATAAAATAATAAAAATGTAAAACAAAAAAAATTCTCACGACGTTTCGACTGCAACACAAGCAATCATCATACGTGACTTTACCGAAAGAATCAAGAATATGAATCCCTGCAGTCACGATAGCTTTAAATCAAAATATCAGTGGCTATTCTATTATTTTCGTGCACACATAGGGCACCAATTTGAACACATACAGAGGCTTGTTTTTGTATATTCATGGCTAAATGACTGCCATTTGCCACTCGCTACACGCGCTGGCTTATGCCTGCCTATGCATATTTAGAAGGGGAAAAAGTGCTAAATCGAACCTTTAATATAGATTTGGTTGAAACATCTGAAGAAATAGATTTTATATATATACTTTGGCCAACTCTTCCACGCTAGCCGAGACATCTCGGTACCCACGCTCTACCCACCTCGCCGCATATGGGCTGTCGATCGACCTTACTGCGCTATTTTATTTTACACTGCCGTGTGGACAGTGTGGGTGGAGGAGTGCAAGATTTAATAACCGTGCCCCATTGTTTCAACTGTCAACTCTTGATTACAAACCAGTATGCTAACCCTGTACACCCTGGCAGATGCCCCAGCTGCTATTGCACAGGAAAGTTAATGTACAAACATGGAATGGCTCCGACTGGAGTACATTTTTTTATATTGCGATTCCATTACTTGTAAAACAAGCTGGTGCTCATTCACGGTCCACTTACAAACTGCATACTTAATTTAAAGTGCACCGAAAAAGTTACTGCATTAAAATACATCAATGTACATTTCGTTACATGTCATCACAGTAACATAACAGTCTATGCCTAATTAATTGCTGCAATAAAAATGTAATCTTCAAGATGTATTTTTTGTTGTTGCAGAGAGCCCGTGGCGCCGCAATTTAATTAACATTTTCTTATTGACGCAAGTCTATAGCAGAAAGGTGTGGCTATAACAAAATGAAATTCGTTGCAAGAACAAAGACCAGGCTCCACTTGTAATGTAATGTCCTTTGTTGAAGCATCTTGGCGTTGATACAGCTCAATCCATATACAGCAGCAGCATCATCATCATCATTGGCCATGAGCTCTCCGCAGCCGGATGAAGTCCTCCCCAGTGTGACACCATCTTTCGTGGTCCTGTGATAGCACAATCCATCGTGCAAAAATGTTGGTTGTAACAAAAACGATGTAAACGTGAAATTGGCAAAAAGAAAGCTGATGGTTAGTAATTCGCAAACAGCAGCTCTTTGACGGGAATATGGGACTGTTTCTCAACATAGTGACACAAGCCTTTTGTGCAGATTTTCTCGGCATCTGTGGAAGTATATAATATATGTAAACTTCTTGCCTAGATTTGTGTTGGAGACAAACTACCATGTCATTCTTCCACACCGGCGATCATCACAGTTTGATCACTTGTCCCTGTGTACCTGCGTGTGTGTCCTCTACACGTTTAGAACGTTAATTTAAGAGGGAGAACATATGATTTGTGCGTTTGCAAGATGCGCAAACACATGCCGAGTACCTAGTGTTTTCAGCATACCTGAACCCGGATGACACTCCGATTCCAGGCTCCCTGCTGCCCGCGTGTGCGTTTTTTTTTTATCGACTGCACATGCAGTGCCCACACAAGCAATATTAACTGGAGCAGCTGTCTCGCACAGCCTCACCCCTGTGCAGTTGATCATTGTTCACATGTCGTGTTGCGTTCCATCTGTGACAAAACATGTGCCTTTGGAATGATTTACTTGGACTCTTTCACGCGGTCTTTTAGCGGCGTGTTTCCTTAGCCTTCATCGAATATATATATTGGGCATGCATTAAAAGTGTTGTTCTTCCGTGTGATACACCCGATGCAATTTCAGTGGCAGGTCATTCTTAATTGAATTCACCGTTCTCCCTTCCAACCCAAGTGTGTCGAGTTTTGCTGCCAACGCGTTGAACCTTTCCCTCTAAAAGTTGCCCCACATTTCCATCGCGCCATTATCAAAAGCTTATAAATATTGAATCCGTCAGTTAGGAAGGCTGTTAATTTTTTAACGTAACTTCAGACAGTTTTAACTGAAAGATTCAAGTTGTTTTATTTGTGTTGCCAATATATACATAGAGGGAACACACACCGTGGCTACTGCAAACGACGAGATGCTGTTACGTGTCGGCGCTCATTCCATTACGGTTTTAATTCTAGATTTGACATTTTCGTGACTGCAAGGATCCATACTCTGGGTTTTTCGTTAAAGTCACGTAGGTTAAAATAAAACAAATACATTTTTCTTTTAAATACATTTTTCTTTTAACCTACGTGACTTTACCGAAAAAACCAAAGAGTATGGATCCATTACGTTCGTTGCACAGTTCCACGATTTGCACGCGTTTGGAATCGAGGGAAACCCTTGTCTTTATTCATTTCTGAAAACATCACGAAACGGATTGTGCAGCACTTCAGTCATGGGCGCCTCGCAATATATAACTATACTCTTTGGTTCTTTCGGTAAAGTCACGTAGGTATAAAATAACATAAATCCTAAGTTTCGATCACAACACAAGCGGTCGTCCTCAGGCGGAAAAAATATAATCCAGCGGTGGAACTGCTGAACTAGCAAGAGAGCAGCTACAACAAGGCGATCGAAACGTCGTGATATATTTTATTTTATGCCAACGTGACTTTACCGAAAGAACCAAAGAGTATGGATCCCTGCAGTCACGAAAGCTTCAAATCAAATAGAGCAGTAGATTGGCATCTGATGAGATGAGGCTGGCAGGTTGTTTTAATTGTGTTGGTCATAGCCCAATGAGGGTTGGTAATGACCGCGCCTGATGGTGCCAACTTCATTTGTGGAGAATTAATTTTGCACTGGCATAGTTGATCACATTTCCGTAAGAAAAAAGGCTCATATTTAAACTGTATTCACATTGAATCGCTGTGTTTTGAAGGCAACACACTGCAAAGTATGGGATTCAAATACTGTACATGGCAATCGTTTATGCCCCAAACCTGCTCCAGCGTATCGTATATATTTAGTTTTAGGGCAGTTTTAATGACAGAGGCGGTAGGTTTTTGTCTAATTTGAGCTTGTTCATCACTGCCAATGCATTTTCACTGTGAAAATAAATATATTGTGTCAAGATTAAATTCACTGGTAATCGAGAGAGATTTTATAGGGATGCGGTCTCTCTTCAGTAATTATAATTATTTAACACAATTTTTGTTCCTGGGTAGTAAGTGTTATTTCGTAATTGTTTATGCCTAAAAAGTATAGAAAATGGCTATTATTCTCCACAAACTTTGCTTTTGTGACCAGGACAGTGATATTTTGAAATTGACCTATTTTCAATGAGAAAACGGGCGAATTTGTGTTTTTTCGTTCACATAGAGTCAGAAAAAAGAACATATGAATAATAATGTACATGTATTTATACTAAAGTCATACAAAAAACATTTAGAAGTGAGTAGTTTTTCGAGATTTACGATTATACTGTAAATCACTTTCACGAATCAGCCCGCAAATGTAGTCTCCCATCATGTTCTCGTTATACTGTCCTTGGTAGCGGCGTTCAAAGTCCAGTATATCCTGGTGGAAGCGCTCGCCTTGCTCCTCCGAATACGCTCCCATGATCTTCTTGAATTTATTCAGATGAACATCAAGGATATGGACTTTGAGGGACATCGTACAGCCTATTGTGCCGTGGTTCTTCACCAGTCTCAACTAGCGCCACGAAGCTTTCGACCTTGTGATTGCCCAGGAAGCCACGAACCACTGCGACAAAGCTGTCCCAAGCCGCTCTCTCCTTACTAGTGAGCTTCTTGGGGAATTCATTGCACTCCAGGATCTTCTTTATCTGTGGTCTGACGTGGACACCAGCTTTGACCTTTTCCTCAGACAGCTTAGGTAAGAAGTCTTGAAGGTGCTTGAAGGCTGCCGACTCCTTATCTACAGCACTGACAAATTGTTTCATAAGGCCCAATTTGATGTGCAGTGTTGGCATCAGCACCTTCCGGGGGTCCACCAGTGGCTCCCACTTGACACTGTTCCTCCCCACAGAGAACTCGGTCCGCTGTGGCCAGTCCCATCTGTGGTAGTGCGCCTTTGGTGTCCCTGCTGTCCCAAAGGCAAACGTAGCAGGGAAACTTGGTAAAACCGCCTTGGAGACCCATCAGGAATGCCACCATTTTTAAGTATCTGATTACCTCCCAGCCGTACTCATACTTCAAGGCGTCCAGCAAGGTCTTGATGCTGTTGTAATCCTCTTTGAGGTGCACCGAGTGAGCCAGGGGAAGAGACGGGTACTTGTTACCATTATGGAGCAGCACGGCTTTGAGGCTCCTGGATGAGCTGTCAATGAAGAGGCGCCACTCATTCTGGTTTCAGGCGATTCCGATTGCCTCGAACAGACTGGTCACATTGTGGCAGAAGCAGAGCCCATCTTGACGAGTGAAGAAGCTGCAAAAAGGTTGGTGACGCTCTCTCTGATCTGCGACTTGCACACTTTCATCCAACAAGTTCCACTGCTTGAGCCTAGACATCAAAAGCTCAGTATTGGACTTGGTGAGACCAAGATCTCTGATCAGGTCGTTAAGGTTTTTTTGGTTGGGGGAGTATGGGTTTCTCTCCTTAGCTCCACCTCTGAAATTGTCATCTGGATCTACAACGTCTTCCTCGCTCTCTGACTTGCTGCTCTCTTCTAAAGACGGCTGCTCTCTCGCCGGAGGAGTGGGTACGGGGAGCTCATGGCAGTGTGGCACCGGAGCGATGGATGAAGGAAGGTCCGGGTACGTGATAGCAGGTGCATTCTTGCCAGTCCGACGGTTGGAAGGGTCCACCACGCAGAAGTAGCAATACTAGAGTGGTCAGGGGGTTCCCGCCAAATTATTGGGATAGCGAACTTCATGGCTCTCTTTTCCCCTCTGTACCATCCTACAAAAATACATTTATTTCACCCATGACTAATGTGTAAGAGATTATCACAACATTTTTCATATCTGATTTGTTTTTTTAATAACATTGAAAATTGTAAAACATTATTAAATAAAAAAACTTACATTTTTTAAAAAAATGTGATGACATCGAATTCCGAGCAACAATTGTCCATCTTACCTTCCAGAGTTTTTTGTATTGCTCGCAGGTGAAACGATGTGCCCAGGGTTTGTCTCGATCCCCGACAGGCATGCCGAAATATGCCTTGTAAGCCTCACACATCTTTGCAGATGCTTCCACAGAGTACTTTTACGCTCTTGTCTTGATAAATTGGCCACAAAATGCGCCTGCCAGATGCTTGCAGCTTCTTGATGCCATCTCAGAACAAATATAACTCGTAAAAACAAAGTTTTTCACTATAAATCCTTTATATGCGTGGCGGCTAGAGTACTCTCGTCCTCTGGCTTGAGATGGCTGCCACCTATGGGTCAGATGATTGAATGGCAGCATTAAGCAATTGGTAATTAAATATAATATTTTTGTCCTGAAAAGTGTAAAATTTTTGAAAAAAAATTTCACGAACATTAATTGTCACGCACAACGAGTCTGTGTGGAAAATGTCAGCTCGATTGGATCATGGGAAGTGGATTAAAAACGACCGAAAGATTTGCACGGTCCTAAGCAAGCAAGCGAACTTAATATTAAGGATTTAAAAATGCAGATATGTATCCACTTAGGCAGCTGGAACTAAACTGAACTGGTGGACTTAATGCCCCTGTATTTATGCTACTATTTATATTACTGGAAAGTTCTAGAATGTTCTAGAAGTTACTACAAGTTTACTTAGCACTGAATCTATCTGGAATGTTCTGGAAAATTGGTCAATTTCAAAATATCACTGTCCTGGTCACAAAAGAAAAGTTTGTGGGGAATAATAGCCATTTGCTACACTTTTTAGGCATAAGCAATTATAAAATAACACTTACTACCCAGGAACAAAAAAAATTGTTACACAGTGTCATCAGTCCAAGAAATTGTGAAAAAAGGAATTGTGAAAAAGGTTACGTGTTGCTTGTAATATTATCATGTCAAGCGAAAAAGCTTTCCTACAAACGTGTTATTTTTATATGTCCAAGTATGCACATTTATTTCCTAATATTTAACAGATACATTTTCAGACATAGCTTCTGTCTCGAAGCTAAAATGCATTCTTATTATATGGTGGTCTGTAATTAGTGCATATCGATTAAATGCCCTGTGTATGTGCATGCACATTATAACACGGTTGGAACATTAGTCTCCTTAATCATCGCAACTCCCATTAGTACTAAGTCTCTGCGTACAAGACAAAGCTGGCAATAATAATGAAATGGTAATGAATAATGTTGCATATATTCCCATTAAAAGACAATTTGTAAATCCATGACCGTTGTTGTATTCATATGCATCGCGGTGCTGAAAATGTTCTTTTGTTGGTGTCCATTTTAAAAAAAAGTAACAGTCCACTGAGACCAAATGTATTCGAGTGTAAAGTGTGAAGGTAACTTCACTACTGTAGGGTAAATGTATGGCATTTTAGAGATGCATCGATGCATACTTTATACTTTTATATATTGTCTGACCTTCACGACATATGCATCGATTCGCGTAGTTGTATGGTGAATATGCAGCAGTGTGGTGTGCAGTAGGGTGGGTAGAATAATGCATAGTGTAATATTACATAAATATGCTAAAATTCCTCTTGATATGCAATTTATTTTGTCAAGGCGCTCTTCCTCCTCCCTCCCAGCTTAAATAGACGCTCCAAGCCCAGGACGTGTCATTCAGACTCGGTCTTATCGACAGACCTGTTCTTCACCTGAGGACGGCTGTTTGCATTGTGGCCGAAACGTCGTGAGAATTGTATTTTATTATGTTTTATTTTTATTATTTTATTATTTCCATTCTACGTGACTTTACCGAAAGAACCAAGAAGATGAATCCCTGCAGTCACGAAAGCTTTAAATGGAAAATTAAAATAAGCTGTTTACAATTCGTGAGAAGTGCATTCTAATGTTTACTGAAAAAACATGTGAGCGAACCAAAATCGTCATCCTTACGAGCCATGGTCAATCCACTACTGGATGAAGACCTCCCCAAGCCGCAGGGACCTCTCCCGATCCTGCGGTATAAATAATCCAACCGGTACCTGCGCAGGAGCCGATTTCATCACTCTGTCTCCGCGGTAGACGCCCTCTGAAAATACGTTCCATTCCTTGGCTGTCACTCCATTACTCTTCTTTACAATCGCCCATCATATCTGCCAGCAGCGTCCCCTGCACAAGCCAACTCACTCTTATTAATAGTTTGGATGTGTTTGACACGTGTATGCTCTCTCATCCACGTGTTTATCGTTGTCTCCCCAATGTAATTCCAAGCACGTATCTCTCCCCGCTTCTCTCGTGCACTGTTTAGTTTTTGTTTTGCATGTCTAATTACCGTTCTTGTTTCTTAGCCACATGTCGTGGCAGGCGCTATGCAATGTTTGGAAACTTTGTTCTTTAGGCTCTTTGGTAAGTTTAGCTCTCCAAAAGCAGTGTCGCATCTTCTCATCCGCCTCTTTACTTAATATTAATCTTCCTTTCATGGCCACATTCACCAGCTGTCTCACGTTCACACACACTCACACTGCTGTGTTGTCCTGTTTTGTTCCTCTGACAGACGTCTCCAATAGGTGGCTAAAATTACGAAGAAAAAATTAACCCGTAAAAACAAAGTTTTTCACTATAAATCCTTAATATGCGTGGCATCGGTTTTATTTTATTATTCATTTCTGTTTTTCTTGAGTAAGAGTTTCATTTTTATCACATTGGTATTTTAAATTAAATAGAATTTTTTTTCTCCAAAAAAGTGGAAAATTTTGGGGAAAAAAATTCACGAAAATAAATTGTCACGCACAACGAGTCTGTGTGCAAAATGTCAGCTCGATTGGATCACGGGAAGTGGGTTAAAAAACGACCGAAAGAATTGCACGGTCGTAAGCGCGCAAGCAAGCAAGCAAGTGAACTTTATATAAAGGATTTAAAAAATACATGTGCTTGATTCGAATCGTGACTCCGGATTGTGACAAGTGCATTGCATTGCTGGGAGGGTAAGTTGTGAGATGCCGAGACATTTAAGTTGTGGGAAATCTTTACTCTTGTTATGTTGGCTACACTGAACGGCTATTTTCAAGTTCACTCAATGGCTATTTCACTTTCAGTGTCCTAGAGGATACTTTTGCGATGGATGGATGGCTGAAGGAATAAGAATGCCAATACTGTCTAATCTGCTCAATGGCAAGCAAGCTCAGCACCAGCCTATTCAGATAGGCTACATCATACAGGTTAGGGTAGCATACACATAACTCCCAATTCTGGACACTGGACACTCCAGAGAGGTTGCCAGATCGATCTCCCAGCACGGTAGTTGTAACAATGGTGAAAGTGTCTAAAATACTCCCACCTCTGTCCACCCATCAATATCATGAATACACCACTGTTAGTCGATCGGAAGAATTTGGTGTGGTAAAAGGTGGATACTCCCACTTCTTGGACACATGTGTAGGATGGGCACAATTGTAGGATGGACAACAGCAGGAAAATTAAAAGTGTGTTTTTTTAAAATGAAAGAATGTAAACAGAGGAAGACCTAACAGAGAATGGCTTGACAATGTCGATTGAGCATATTAGTACAGGACAGAGGTAAGTGGAAAGAAATGATGAAATGCGTCGTGGACATTTACGGGACTCTTTGCCCAATGGATCGTGACGACGATGATGACGACGACTCACACTTCTTCCAAGATGTGTGGAAAGAGTAGGCCAAAAATACCCTCTCTAGATGTCCCCTTGTGGGAGCAGTGGCGTGAGTAAGAAATTGCAGGGCTGCACCTTTATTTGTTATATACATCACCGTTGTGAAGCGAATCGCCTGCTGTCCATGGAATTCGCAGCCACATTTACCTTTGCGTTGTGTGTATTACGTGCTATATATTTAGTGAAAATAGAAGAACAGGATAGAACAGAAACATGCCCTCTGAACATTACCTCTGCATGTTTCTGTTATATATTGTTGGGAATAATACGCAATAAAAATCTACACAATGTATTAAACTCATTATGAAAAACCCATTGAAAATACCTGAAGTATCTGTGGCAAATATTTGTTTTGTGCGTCACTATTGAGGTCATTTCCCATGCCATGAACAATACATTTGCAAAATACCACGAAGGTCAGTCACATTTGCATGCCTCTTCCTTCAGAAATAAAATATCTATTGTAGCCCTTTAAATTGCGTGGAGAATTTATTTCCCATTTACTATCGGGCCAAAAATGCTGTTTGACAGCAATTAATTAATTACATTTTGTGCTCCCACTTAGATGGTGTTGTGATCGGCTGAGGACGGAATTGCTTACCGGCGCAAGCTTCGGTAATGTTCAGCCTGGCTTTTATCGCATTTTACGCGGCAGACGTGGCAAATTGATGTAATGGAGGATTATACGTAGACTGCTTAAATTCACCTTGGTCAAGTTGACCTCTTCTGGTTGAGCAGAAGGGTAGAGGTGCGGTGTCTGCACCAGTAGTGTAGCGGAGTGTTGTTGGCACGGGTCCTGGTGCCGTTGATGAATATCCCCCTCCCTCCTCCTCCTTCACCCCCCCCCCCCGCTCCTGCACCTCCCCCACCTCTTCGTAGTCCAGTACCTGCGACCCCTCTCACCTGAGAGTCCTGGTGCAGTTGCATCACCTGCACGCGCGGTGTTCACACCAAGAACAAAATGTATGTATGTGCTGTATGTTGAACTTCTTTTGCACCGTACATCGCCAACCGTGATAATCGAAGGTGCGGGGGAAGGACAACAAATAAATATCGCTCTCTCTCTTTCTCTTGGGATGCCAACACTGCACTGTGCTAAAGCGTGAGGGCTGCGAGGTGCCAGTAGGTGGCAGTACAGCAAGGAGTGTGGTCCATAGACAAATTTGATCCAGTCTTTGGATTGAGTCTGTGGGCTGCTTGTATCTGTGCGGAGCTTTGAGTTGAGCGCGGGTTTTATTTAGCGCGGCTTTTATTTTGCGCGGGTTTAATTTTGCGTGGCTTTTAAATTGCGCGGGTTTTATTTTGCGCGGCTTTTATCTTGCACGGGGTTTTATTTTCCGCGGTATTATTTTGTGCGACTTTTATTTCGCACGGTTTTTTTTTGTGTGGTTTTATTTTGTGCGGCTTTTATTTTGTGCGGCTTTTATTTCGCACGGGTTTTTTTTTTTTGCGTGGTTTTATTTTCCGCGGTTTTATTTTGGAGCGGCTTTTATTTCGCACGGGTTTTTTTTTTTGCGTGGTTTTATTTTGTGCGCCTCTTATTTTGCACGGGGTTTTTTTTTTTGCGTGGTTTTATTTTGTGCGCCTCTTATTTTGCACGGGTTTTTTTTTTGCGAAGGTTTTATTTTGTGCGCCTCTTATTTTGCACGGTTTTTTTTTTTGCGAAGGTTTTATTTTGTGCGCCTCTTATTTTGCACGGGTTTTTTTTTTTGCGTGGTTTTATTTTGGGCGCCTCTTATTTTGCACGGGTTTTTTTTTTGCGAAGGTTTTATTTTGTGCGCCTCTTATTTTGCACGGGTTTTTTTTTTGCGTGGTTTTATTTTGTGCGCCTCTTATTTTGCACGGGTTTTCTTTTTGCGAAGGTTTTATTTTGTGCGCCTCTTATTTTGCACGGGTTTTTTTTGCG